ATTTTGCTTTTTTAGATAATACTTGACTGAGATAAGTCTTTATTTTGCTTTTTAGATAATACTTGATTGAGATAAGTCTTTATTTTGCCTTTTTAGATAATACTTGACTGAGATAAGTCTTTATTTTGCTTTTTTAGATAATACTTGACTGAGATAAGTCTTTATTTTGCTTTTTAGATAATACTTGACTGAGATAAGTCTTTATTTTGCCTTTTTAGATAATACTTGATTGAGATAAGTCTTTATTTTGCCTTTTTAGATAATACTTGACTGAGATAAGTCTTTATTTTGCTTTTTAGATAATACTTGACTGAGATAAGTCTTTATTTTGCCTTTTTAGATAATACTTGATTGAGATAAGTCTTTATTTTGCTTTTTAGATAATACTTGATTGAGATAAGTCTTTATTTTGTCCTTTTTAGATAATACTTGACTGAGATAAGTCTTTATTTTGCTTTTTAGATAATACTTGATTGAGATAAGTCTTTATTTTGCCTTTTTAGATAATACTTGATTGAGATAAGTCTTTATTTTGCCTTTTTAGATAATACTTGACTGAGATAAGTCTTTATTTTGCTTTTTAGATAATACTTGACTGAGATAAGTCTTTATTTTGCCTTTTTAGATAATACTTGACTGAGATAAGTCTTTATTTTGTCTTTTTAGATAATACTTGATTGAGATAAGTCTTTATTTTGCCTTTTTAGATAATACTTGACTGAGATAAGTCTTTATTTTGCCTTTTTAGATAATACTTGACTGAGATAAGTCTTTATTTTGCTTTTTAGATAATACTTGATTGAGATAAGTCTTTATTTTGCCTTTTTAGATAATACTTGACTGAGATAAGTCTTTATTTTGCTTTTTAGATAATACTTGATTGAGATAAGTCTTTATTTTGCTTTTTAGATAATACTTGACTGAGATCAGTCTTTATTACTGGATCAAGGTTATTGTATCTATAAACTTCAGTAGGATCATGGACACTATTGAACCTTCAATAACACAAAAAACCGTTGTGTCCAAATGTTGTCGATGGTAGGGGCATTTGGTAGATGTTTTGTTTTATCCTTATTTTCATCTGAAAATTTTGTGAAATGATTTATAAGTAAATTTAGACATTATAAATGCTGCGATAATGTTTAATGTGTATAGGAAAGTCTGACACATTCTTGTATTAAAAACAAATTCTCCATCTTTCCTTTGCACTTTTACACCTGTGACGTATACATCAGAGTCATTTCTCCCTCTGTATGTGAATCTGTGTGTATCTCCTAACTTGCAGGTATGTGTTATGGTGTTGTCATGGTGATTCAGAAGATCTGGTAAATCTGTGGTCCTGTCACTGGATTTAGGTTAAAATGGGTCAGAATACTCGGGTGTCAAATTAGATGACAAATATATCCATAGTTTTATATTTCAATATTTGTTGATCTACCCTCTCCCCCCCGCCCCCCCCTCCCAACCGAACCCACCACCCCTCCTTCCAAGTGAAAGGGGGGAAGGAAACCACAAAATCAAAGCAAAATAAAACTACAGCAGCATATTTTACCATAAGCTTGATCCATTTATATATAGTATTCAACCAATTCTGATATAATTGTCGATTTTCTTATTTGTTAAGTCCCTGGGGAAACAAGTTGTCAATCACCATAATCTCTTGAAAAGTTTACGTATATATAAAAAACATTGATCATTTAATACCAACAGATTGCTTATCAACAGGAGACATTTCTATAATAATATCTTTCATTTTTTATGGTCTAATCTGTCAACATAAATATGAGTTCTTAAGAGGTCCTATAGCATGAAAGTCATGTTTTCATGGTCGTACAAAGCCTGGCAGGGAAAGTTATTGTCATCAAATAAAGCCTGCAGAACATTGTTATTTTTCCTGCCTCAGCTGGAGACTGAAAAAGATAACTGAGGGCTGCGTATGCAGTCACTACTTCTGATCATGTCCATCAATAAGCCCATGCTTGGTAATAAGACCACCCCTCAACTTCAGCAGTTTCAGTAGAAATGCCAAGAATCATTATTTCATTGTTTTTTGCTAAGACAATTTCAATAATTTGAATGTCGGAGGATTTGTGTTGGCCCCCTTGGGATTGCTGTAGATTAAATATGTTGTTTCATCATGTGTGAACAATTAGATATTCGTAGATTGTCTGAAAAGGAAATTCCTCAATTTCCACAGTGCCACAAATGTACTTAACACTACCTCTGGAAGTAAATTCCATTAAACACTCCATGTAAAGCACAAATTTAAGAATTAAGTCCATCTCTCTAGACTTTTCACTAATTGTATTGAAAGAATCTAGAGAGAGCTAAATGTATGGTTTCAGAACATTCTATGTTATGTTACCTTGACAACAGCCAATCAAGTGTTTGTCCCTGGTGGATCCCTCAGGATAATCTCACCTTAAAAATTCTGTCGTGTCTCACAGGCATATGTTGGAGATAATTTTGTACCTCTTGTCTGTCCTTGATTCCAATTAAATATTCAATGAGCCCCAATGATGCTAAATTATGCATATATATATATATATAGCAGATTCCCCTTAGAAGCAATCAGATGGAAGAATTGTTCTAGGTATGTCTGGTCAATAATGACATGTGTTGACTACTCATACCATAATTTTTCTGTATTTGCCTTCCATCATATCATCAAAACGCCGTAATGGGCAACTAAACAATAGGAAAGTTTTTGTATAAAGATATATAGTATATTTTTTTCTCTGGACGGTTAAGATTTTTACATGTTTACCAAAAACCTGAAGTAAAAGGATGTATTTCTTATAGTGATATCATTCCATTCCATTAAATAACATTTACGGTATATAAATGGATACAAATGAATGATTGACAGATATTAAGAGTTCATTATAAGGAGATACTTTACAATCATTAATTTTCATGGTTGATTTATTTGTGTTGCTTTTGTGGTACACTTAATACACAAATATATGTTCACTAACTGTAACAATGTGAATAAGTACACCTATTCAGTTATCATAATTCATGAAATCAATTGTCTGCTGAAAACGATGAAAACTGAGCCCCACAAAAATAAATCCTTTTACAGTAATATATATATATATATGTATATAGATTTCTTGTTTGTCTCTACCTAGCAATAAGTGTATCCACATCTATTGCAGTATAAGTTTGTCTCTACCTAGCAATAAGTGTATCCACATCTATTGCAGTATAAACACTGACATGTTATTTATTGTCCTGCATCATGCCCAGCTCTCTACTGCAATAAGTGTGTTGATCTTCAGGGCTTACTGACGGAAAAAAGGTTATTTATTTTATAAGATTGTAAGAAAAGCTCATAAGAGAATTGAAAAATTCCAAGTTTGTTTTGAGATTTTGTATTTCAAAATGTGAACCAAATGAATTGAGATGTTTTGTTACAGGATTCAGTAAATTGCTGGTGAATTAGGAAATGTGAGAATTAAATCCCGAGACACTGAGTGTGGTTCAAACTGATTCTTTAATTAAACTTTGAGAAAGTTTCAAAATGATCCTCAAACAGTAACCTTGTTGCTATGACGATTCTTAATTCTTTTAATGAACACACTTTTCCAAATCAAAACATCCTAATGGCAACCTGTGTGAAATTGATCAAAAGAATTTAGGGAGAAATATAAAAATTTTACTAGAATTTACCTGTTGTAAAGAAAGATGGTTATCATTTCTTATTTTCTGGGACAGTATAGCTCTCTTTTTCAGGTATAATGTTGACTGTCCTCAAGGAAGATGACTAATGCCCCTAGTTTTTCAGGGAGTATAATTATCTCCCCTTATCATCTGGAAATATTGCTACTTTACATCATACTTTAGTGGATATGGTTACTTCCCTTTATTGCTTGGTAAGATAGTCACAAGAATCCACTAAGTGACTTGAAATAATTTTCAGGAAATTTTATTACCCTGATAACCTCCCATCATTGTGGGGAAATATAGTTACCTCCCCTTAATATAAGGGAATGTAGTGATATCTTCTCACTATCAGGGAATATTGTTACTGTACCTCCACATAGAGTCAGAAAGTATAAAGATATCATCTCAATGTCAATGAATATTGTTACTATATACCTCCCCTTAAAGTCAGGAGATATTGTGATATCCTTTAATATCAAGGAATAGTGTTACCTCCCTTTAATGTCATGAAATATATTGATATCTCCTTTCTTTCATGGAATATTGTTATTTCCCATTAATATCAGGGAAAACATGTATAGTGATATCTATTTACTACCAGGAAATGTATTACCTCCCCTTAGTGTCAGGGAAAACATGTATAGTGATATCTATTTACTACCAGGAAATGTATTACCTCCCCTTAGTGTCAGGGAAAACATGTATAGTGATATCTATTTACTACCAGGAAATACACTTTATATTACCTTCATTTTCAGGAAGAATGATTTTTATCTTTGCAGAGGAATTTGTCTTTGATTATTTTTGTCATGAAATCATGCTATGATAGTTAATGTATCCTCCCCTTAGTGTCAGGGAAAACAGGTATAATATAATGTTGGTTATTATGTAGGCAAAGTAAGATATAAATGGACATCATACAGTTGCTGTAGTAGATATAAATGGACATCATACAGTTGCTGTAGTAGATATAAATGGACATCATACAGTTGAAAACTGTATAGTGATATAAATGGAAATCATTACTTAGTTGCTGTAGTGATATAATTTACTACCAAGAAATACACTTTATATTACCTTCATTTTCAGGAAGAATGATTTTTATCTTTGCAGAGGAATTTGTCTTTGATTATTTTTGTCATGAAATCATGCTATTAGTTAAATCTCTTTATCACTTAGGGAGGTAAATATAATGTTGGTTATTATGTAGGCAAAGTAAGATATAAATGGACATCATACAGTTGCTGTAGTAGATATGTATCATGTTTGATAAATTTTCTTTTAATTTATAGCTAATATCTCAGAACTCTTGCATTTTACAAAATTTTCAGTGATACGCTCAGCCATCTTGATACAGAAATGGTATCGTCGCTATATGGCACGCCTGGAGATGCGACGACGATGTACTTGGAATATATTTCAGTCCATTGAGTATTCGGGAGAACAGAACCAGCTCAAGGTCTGTGTGAATATCTATGTTTTCTTGGAACTTGTTGTATTCTTGTGCTTTGACATACTGTAAAAGTAATAATTTTGAGGGATTTTATTTTTCATAAACTCTGAGGAAGGAATGAGACCACAAAATTAAGTACATCAAAAGGAAAACTCACAGAGAAATCCATCATCATGTCTTAAGTTTGGGAAAAATTACATTCTATTTCTTTTAAGCTTTCGGTAAATCTCAACACAATTTCTAAAGCATAGAAGAAAACCTCCACTTTACAATAATGATGTATTTAAAATGGCAACAATATGATATCAGCCTAACGCAACATGCCAAAATAATCTGAAAAAATTATGATGTTTTGAAGAATTTTTAGATTTTTCACTTAACGAACAATACACACTTTCATTGAATCTGTATGATAACTGTGAAACAACAATGTTAAAACAAGGGAAAGAATAGCATAGTTTACTGAGTTTTCTTTACTTTCTTTTGATATTTGTGAGATCCATTTGTTTGTAAACAGATGATGTTTTATTCGTGTATTTTTTTTCCCAGCTGTACAACTTTTTCACAGACATGTTGAAACAGATGACTCCAGATGGGACTGGTCAGCCGAAAATTCTGCGGGCTTTGTCAGACAGCAGCAGGCGTCCAATTAACTGTGGTCAGTATATACTCTTTCTTGTCAGTAATTTTTCATTGAAGATGATTTTGAGACTTTGTCAAAACAGATTCTCCGCTCCCTTCTAAATTCTGTTTCCGATACTTTAGGAAATAAAATTCAGAGAAACTGTGTTTGCATGCTATCTTTTTCTTTTGGATGCAAATACTGAGTTTCAGCGTATTAGAACATAATCTTTCAAATTAAACTGCTTTCTAGTGAGATGCCAGTAAACACTCTGCTGGTATTCTGACTGACTGAGGAGTGACAAGGTGATGTTACTTCATTTACAGTCCAATGGCACTAGCATGACTTCATCTCTGCTGGCAGCTTCCTCAATAGTTTTATGTATGGGATTTGCATACTTGATTAGAAAAAAAAAATGCAGTAAAAATGTCTGATTACTTTTTAACACAATTTTATTAACTTTTTTTAGTTTTAAAATTACATTTCCATGACAACAAATGAATTTAACATGATGAGAAAATAAATTATTCACATTATTCACAGAATTCTTCATCAAATTGGCATTCAAGCTGACAAAAATTTACAATATTCCTAAAAAAAATAAACCAATAAAGATAAGAATGCTCTAAGTATTTCCTCTTCATCAGTAAATAATCATTTTGAAATGATCCAACTACCAGTAGAAAGAAAGGGCCTGCAGCTTTTTATTGTGAAATGCAGCATCAAACACTGTATGATATTGCATTGGTAACTTAAAATTGCACATACATCAAGCACCTCAGATTTCTGAATAAAAGCATATATGTCATAGCATTGACCAATAGTGGATTTTTTATGTTTTTTTTTTTAGTTTCCTTTGCCATCTTCACACAAAAGTACACCATACTAGTACAAGTTTTCCCAGTCAAAGCACATTCAGTAATCTTATAAACAGAACGGATTTGATTTGAATTCTGTCTGGATTGCCTGCACGCTCTATATTGTCCGTCGTTTAATAATATCATACTGGGTTTAATGTCAGGAAGGCTCATAAATAGAGTATTGAGTTTGTGGTCGCGTAAACTATTAACACAGAGCAATATCTTCTATAGTCAAACCTTCAATGAAATGCCTGCTTATTTTGTCCCCTCCAGCTGGAGTTTGAAGTAAACCTGCTGTTTATACAATTATATATATAGATATACATACATATATGTTTTTTTTAAATTCCTATTTGAATTTGCACATGCTGTACAATCTGTTTCTATACCGAAATGATACTCAATTAAAAATAAAATATGTTTTACATATTTTTTAATTGAAATTTCCATACAATTCTTTATGAATTTTGCGCCTGTCTTGAGGACAGCAAGACACACATATCATTTGCCACTGTTCTATCTCTTTGGCTTCTTTTGCCTGCTACTATCTAAGCACTTCCTTTCCTGGCCTGTAGCTATGAGATTTGTTCTGTACTGCCCGTAATTATCAACTGAATTAAATCCTCCCCACATGAGTAAACTGCTGATGATTACAGCTGACAAGGTGGAATTCTAAAAGGACAATCGTGATCAGAACCTCTCGACAGCATGCAGAGATATCAACACAACCTCCACATTGATATTACTAATTGCTCAAGATTTCATATCTACCTTTACAATCACATGAAAGAGCTGATTGGATTAAGATAAAGGTGTAATTCTCGAGGTGACAAAGAGGAAGCCATTCAATTTTTTTTTTTTTTTATTTTGATCAAAATCTGATCTCTTTTCATTAAGTTCTATATTAAGGATATCTGAAATATTCTGTATCAACCAATCAGATTGGTTCTCTTTTGAACATTTGGATTTTTCGAAAACAAGATGACAATAATCTTTGATACATTTTTCAATGTGTTAAGTAAAAAGTAATGAGCATTGTTCTAAGACGGTAACTCTGAAGAAAGAGTAAAATGGTTAAGCACAGGCCATGTTCATTGAAAAAGAAAAAAAAATACAATTTAAAATCATGCTCTTGTCACAACAAAGTTATCACTTAAATTATGGTGCTGTTAACTGTACAGATATCATTTCTCATGGCAATCTCATAGCTTGATATGTATTTCATAGTAAGATCTCATCTGTTGTATCTTTTTACATTTCAATTTTCTTTGATGAAAAATATGGTCACCCTTACTATAAATAGAAATTTGGAATCATAACCTTTTAATACATATTCCTGAGTTTTTATCTTATTGTCATGAAATTAAACACACATGGTCGCTTTTCCCTTGTACCATTACATAAACAATGTTATGTTTTAATGTTCTTGAGAAAAGAGAAATTGCTTTTTAAAATGTTATGGTGACTTTAGTTTTGTTGTAGGTAAATGGTTAAATGTGATTTTAGGTTTTTATTTTAAAATTTCACATATATCCACAGTAAGCTCTAATTCCTTCTAACTTCTAGAGTCAAAAACAAGGTCGCTGCTACTATAAATAGAATATTGATGTTTTCGTTCAACAGATATCTTATTTTATCCAATTAATATCAATCTTCTATTCATAACCATCATCCCTTATATCCTCTGTATGTGTACATATTACCAATTAGAGGTTGGTGATTTTTGTCAATGTGTGTTGTACTTTCACTTTCAAGCGTCAAAAACAAGGTCAATGTTACTATAAATAGACATTTGATATCACCATCTGGGATTTAAAGTCATTGCTACTATAAATAAAGATTTGATTTCGCTTTTTAAGGTTTAAAACTGGGTTAATGTTACTATAAAAAGAATTTTGGTTTATGTTCATACAAACCTATTGTCTGCAAATCACATCTCAGTCACATGTTCTATACATTTGTCATCTGTAAATATTTCAATAAGTGAAAGTATGTCTAGCATGTTATCTGTGATGTACTGTTGTAGGTTAGATTAAAGTTTTATGACAGTGTCACCTGCATGTTCGCCTGCGACACTCCTTTTACGTGTTACTGTATTAGATTAGAACAACCTTGATAGACTGGCTTTATAACAAAATTTGTCATGACCTGCATCTTCATCACAAGTATTACAGTCTTTTAACTGACTGCTTGAAACTCATTCGAAGCAAACATTATTTAATTCAGGTTCAAAATTGGATTCCACACTTGTATAATATCAGACTAAATTTCCGTTCTCTTGAATGACCTTGACCTTGTAGGGCCTGGTCTTGCTATCCTGTTGGTAATTTGGTTCATTCCCTCGTTCCTTTGTTCATTCCCTCGTTCCTTTGTTCATTCCCTCATTCCTTTGTTCATTCCCTCGTTCCTTTGTTCATTCCCTCGTTCCTTTGTTCATTCCCTCGTTCCTTTGTTCATTCCCTCGTTCCTTTGTTCATTCCCTCGTTCGTTTGTTGGCATGTTCGTTAATTCATTCTTTCTCTATATAACTCAATCCTAGCTGAACTTCTATAAAATCATATATTTTTGTAGGAACTCACTTTATGTTGTTTTTTTTTTTCAAAAAACATTCATGGACACTTGTTTTCATGGATAACTTAAGCTCAATGAGTATACTTAAAATGATTTTAACAGTCATGGATATATCAATAAATGGATTAAGAGCATCCACGAAATAAATGAAAATTACTCCTCACAAAAATTAATGATATTGCAGTATCTCTATGTGGAGCCATGCCAATGGATGTCAATGTCGTGTTGAGGTGTGTTTCACATGTACATGTTTTATATTTGTAATTATCTTTTGTATTGCCTGCTATTTACTCTATAATTAGTGATTCAATTTCTCTTTATGGATCAAGAAAAAAATTGTCTTATCTTGTGGTTTCCCTGAATACAAATTTTTTCCTGAAGTATTTCTGAGGATTTTGTTTTTATGATTGAATTGATTTAAAAGGATACAGGATGTTATCATAATGCAAAACTCATGTTTTTTTATCTGTGTTTTGATAGACAGATGGTTTTGTCTCAAAACGCCTAGAGACATTCATGTAGTGAAGCAAGCTTCTTATGTACCATTAAAGACTGATGTTTGACACGCCACACCTTTGCTATATATATAGAAGAAAGGCTTGAACACACAGAGACAATTCATAATTTTATCCTGCTTGAACAAAAATTGTAAGAAAGTTTATTTCAGTATATAAAAATCATTTTTATTAGCCGAGATGAAAGTGTGTGAGAGGTCTTACTGTATGTTGAAAGTGAGACAATGCATGAGATTTGCATAGTCACACAGGTGACCCAAATGATATTTTCATGGCACACAATGGGATCAAAACCACATGACCAAGGTGAAAGTATTTAGGTTACTACAGCACATGCTAGCCAGACATTAGCAACCACCATACTTCTGAGCAATGAGAGAAATTGAACAGTAGACTTCAAATGGGTGACAGAACATTCTGTCTCCAAATAGGTGACAAACACTCCAGGATATTGACCGTCATACTTTAAACAGGTGACAAAAACACAAAAATATTAAACATCATTCTTATAATAGGTGACAAAACACTCCATCATATTGAACAGTATATTTAAAACAGGTGACAGAACACTCCAAGATATTGAACACTATATTTATAACAGGGGACAGAACACTCCAAGATATTGAACACTATATTTATAACAGGGGACAGAACACTCCAAGATATTGAACACTATTTTTAAAACAGGTGACAGAACACTCCAAGATATTGAACACTATATTTCAAACAGGTGACAGAACACTCCAAGATATTGAACACTATATTTCAAACAGGTGACAGAACACTCCAAGATATTGAACACTATTTTTAAAACAGGTGACAGAACACTCCAAGATATTGAACACTATTTTTAAAACAGGGGACAGAACACTCCAAGATATTGAACACTATTTTTAAAACAGGGGACAGAACACTCCAAGATATTGAACACTATATTTGAAACAGGTGACAGAACACTCCAAGATATTGAACACTATTTTTAAAACAGGTGACAGAACACTCCAAGATATTGAACACTATTTTTAAAACAGGTGACAGAACACTCCAAGATATTGAACACTATTTTTAAAACAGGTGACAGAACACTCCAAGATATTGAACACTATATTTATAACAGGGGACAGAACACTCCAAGATATTGAACACTATTTTTAAAACAGGTGACAGAACACTCCAAGATATTGAACACTATTTTTAAAACAGGGGACAGAACACTCCAAGATATTGAACACTATATTTCAAACAGGTGACAGAACACTCCAAGATATTGAACACTATTTTTAAAACAGGTGACAGAACACTCCAAGATATTGACCACTCCAAGACGCTTTCTCTTGCTGTTGACTGCATGTATAACTACACCAACAGATCTATAATCTCACACAACAAAACCAGACTTTATTGACAATTACTGGCTGTAACACAGTGTTTGGAAGGATAATTTGAATTATGGCCATTGCAATGTTGAGAAATCTGTATTGTGATGGTTTTCTCATTTAGAAGTCTGTAACAACAAATTTTCATGTATATTGAAGTTCAGAAATCTAGTCTGGTGCCTGAAAGCACAATACAAGTTTGCAATAGACAAACTTGTTAAAAGTGATTGTCATCATCACTGAATAAAGTGAAACATTCATTCACGTGTTGTTAGGAAAAAGTTAGGTAAATGAGGAGAGGTGGAAGATCGACAAAATAAAAATAAAAACATGTAGTGTTTATCATAGAGCACAGGGTCATAATTCAATTTTTTTTTCTTAACAGTTCAAATCTCTCTGGTTTTATTAAAGATTTGAGGTAAATAAGATGTGTTTTGGAAAAAAAAGAAGATAAAATGGACTATTATTGCTTTTTCTCAGTCTAAATTATCAAGTTATTTGTATGTATGTAAAGATGGCCACACATTGTATACATCCTGGTATGATTTGTTTCAGACAGATTAAATTCAGGCTGATGAAAACTGTGTGGAAATCTAAAAGCCACCGTCATAACCTCATTAGGAAATATGTTTATTTACATGATATGAAGTTTGACATTTTTACTGCTTATCTGTGCGTTGGTTTCATTGTTGCGACACTACTTCTGGACTTCTGATTGTTTCATCATTTCAATCTGATGTAGATTAACATAGGAGAGACCATTGATGGTCTCCATGTGTCCTTGAACTTTTCCAATGGTATATATATATAAATGGATATCCCACGAAAGATATAGACATCTACCAATCAGCCGACACACAGCAGGATGCAACGACGGCTTTTTCCAAATCTTCCCCCTGTATACTTTTTCATCTGAAACCAATCGAATACAAAGAGAAGCCAAGGAGTCAGAAATTATAAACATTTTAAAACCAGACTTGAATATTAATGTTTAACCGCATTGTAAAGTTTGCAAAATATAATTATGCCCCTTTTATATTATGACGTCATCAACAGATAACATGTTGTGACGCCACACCATTATGTACAGTTACTATGCACCTGAAGATCTAATACAGTGAAAGCACTAGTGCAAAATGTAACGTCTTTCTTCTTTTGTCAAAAATCATTTTTATATATATACATGTATATATATATATACATATATTTATCACATCATTCGCCTTTTGTCCAATGAGTTCACCCATGTAATATTTTTTGCACATATGCCACTATTGTTATATGCCCTGGAGCGTTTTCATTGGCTACACCTATCAGAAATCAATTAAGACATAATAAAATAGACCATAATGCTCCATCAACAAAATGGCTGCTTACATTTGAATTTGTCCTTTACAATTTTTTTCTTAAAACCATGTAATAAAAAGTATCTTAAATTTGTTTTCATTTCATATGAAATTTTTATAAGCCAAGGCTCGCAAAAATGAAAAACTTTTAAAGTTTGTTTCATAAAATCTCATATGAAATAAAATGTCATTGAAGATTTTATATATATATATATATATATCTCAATGTGTAATTTGGTCATAATCACCAATGTATCAATAATTCTTAACAAAAATCTTCCCCTCTTCCCCTAGATCAACATGGTGGGTATCATAGACAAAGCTGACAACACCTGGCCTTGGTATCCATTTAAATCTTTAATTTGTATACATTTACTTCCTTGTTCATCTATTTCGAGTCATGGTTCACCTGTTTTGATATTACAGTCATATGTTGTTTTTATCAGATGTCCGAACTTTGGAAGCAGAAGATGCCGGCCTCCTCCTTCTGAGTAATCCCGATGATATTGAGGTCGGGTCACATTATAATGGCATACATCTCACGTTTCCTCTTAACCAATCACAACTCCAGGATCTTATACAGTCTTTCAAAACAAAAAAGGTGAGATTTTATCAACAGCTTAATTTATGTCACTCTTACAGTTATGTTCTAACATCATGACCTGCAAAGTATTAAATTCATCACTTCAACAGAATAACAAAAGGTAACATGACAATTCTGACCCAACTCTTATCAAAAGAATCATCATACCTTGACAAGAAAATAAAATAATAATGCACCATCTTCAGAAAACTTGATAGTGGTGGACATTTTTCTTGTAATCGTCAGTAAATTAAAATGAATTGGTTACTTGGACATGAATAAAGATACTGCAAAATCACAATTTTTTGTGGAGGATTAATTTTGTAAGTACTCTCTTAATTCATAGATTCATATGTCCACAATTTGTTAAATTACAATGTAGTTTTAAGCATGTTTACTGAGCACTATTTATTGATGAAATCAATTGTCCATGCAATAAAGATATTTTGAGAAACCATGAAATTTCGGTTCCACATACATGTTATATACAACTTGACAGTAAGAAGTGTTGATTAGTGCAAAAGGGTACTTATATCATCAAATAGTCACTAATCATATGATTTCCTGGCCTGTGGTTGCAATTGTGTTAGCTTTCGCAACCTCAAATTTCATTTCAGAATATTTTATTGTCTTGATGTTGGTGACATATGGAATTGGGCAACAGGCAGAGCCTATGAAAGCCCTCTCCATACAACTTAAACAAGTACACAGACACATCAATCAAAATTTAAGACATTAAATAATAATGATAGCATTCCAAGAAAACCTCAACCTCAACCTCAAATGCAGGTTGGAGGTGTGTGGTTCAATGATAACTATCTTTCCCAGGAAGTACAGACAAATTAAAGAACCTTAGGCAATACACTTAACCCCAATTGCTCTGGATGGTATGCAGTGGGCCTCCTGTATGGTGTTCAGTGAGGTAGCCACAACCACTGAATTCCTTGCTGTTCATGAGGTGATAAACACCGCTACCAAAGCACAGGCTTATTACTGATAAATATGGTATGAACCCCTCAAGGACGAAGTGGATGAATTAAATGAGGATTAAAGGCAGCAAAATTCACTCAGCATCCATAAGATCATTTTGTCAAATAAATAAAAAAGTGAAATAAAAAATATAGCTTGAAGACATGTTATATGATAAGAGAGCATGCAATCTGTGATCCTTTATATAAACAAGAATACAACAAATGGTGTTATGTCATGTCATGTATACATGCAGTATGCATAGCTTAGCTCATCGAGAGACATGTGTTATTTACTGTACAAAACCGTAAAATAAAACCACTGTTAATTTGTCAACATTCATGCTGACCTAAATCTCATTTTGGATATCAAAACAACTTCAAACCACATTTGGAAATAAAAGAAAACATTTGTGTTTAAAGAAACGAGAGCACAGCATGGATTCGGTATTCCCAATTTGATCAAATGTAATTGCTTTCGAGAAAGCCATACAATGACTATTCCTTGAGATTTTTTCGGAGATGGAAGACGGAGATGGAAGACGGAGATGGAAGACGGAGATGGAAGAAACATGGCACTGAAAGAAATCAGGTTGTGGTTTCTCAATTTACAAATAAGAGAAAAAGAAATTGTAAGATTCTTATTACAATTGAGCAAAATAAGTAAATGTTGGAGATTTTCATGTTCCTTGCTGTAATCAATATCATCCAATTTGGAGATGTACATGTGGGTGGCCCCGAGGCTGAGGGTCTGTGCAGTTGTCGTATGGTGTACAGAACATGTGACCAACTTCGTATAATTACCTGGTTTGACACTAGTCTGAGCAATTGAGAAAGGATAGATCAATGTCATTTCTGGATCTGATCATTTCTACAGCAATCGGGGAAAGTGTATTATAGATTGAGACACAATTTGATCTCGGAAAGCTGGCATTATATAGACACATGCAAAGCACACAAAGCTATCTCCATGTCCCCCACTCTCTCATTGTAATATAACTTTAATTGAAACAGCTCATTTCTGTAAGTATGTCCTCTATATATTTACAGCTGTGATGCATAACTCTACATCCTCTTAATAAAGACCTTAGGCAAAGTCAGTAAGCTTGCTTCAGATTTAACGCAATTTTAATTAATCATTTTATCTTCATCCTCTCCTTGGGAGATCAAATAAAATTTTCAATACCGTGTTTATGATGAAGATATTTTTTATCTTGTATAATTTTTTTTATCGTATTAGAATTCAGATCTAAATTGAGATGCTAGAGCTGATTCTGTTCAAACTGAAAAGCATCAGAGAGGTCAGTACTAGTGACCAGTGTTTCAAGGTCTCATGACTAAATGTGGCCCGGACATTTGACATTTTAAACTGATATTTGGTATTAAAGGATATTCATTATGATTACAAAGTTTGCTGCTATTGAGCCAGAAGAAATTTGGAAAAATGAGAAATATGGAATATTTCTTCAAGTTTGTCAATGCTTTTAATTTTTTTCTGTGACAGAGAAATCTTTAACAGGGTCACTGTCACTATTTTCAAGAAAATTGATATTTAGCTTTTTCAGAGAATAAAGAAATGGAAGAAAAATACCATAAAAATAAAATTATATCAGTATAGAAAATCTTCCATCAAAAAATCATCCTTTTTGTTTCAAGCTTGTGAAAATAGTAAAAAATTAACCATAAAAACAAATAATCTTCACAGTGTGCCGATATTTCTACTTCTTACGACAGAGAATGAAAAATTCATATCAAGATTGAAACATTTGCTATCAAACTAAGAGCAGAGACGAAATACTGTAGATTTGTTTATTTTTATTCGGGATTTATTTTATTTGGTTTTATAGGTTCTATCAATCCATGATTTCATATGTTCATGAACAGTTAAAATTAGTACAAGTTATTCATATTCATCCACAAAATGAAATGTCCACATAATATCAGTTTTTCTTACACCACGAAAATTGTGTTCCACAAAAATGTATGATTTTACAATACTGTGATCTGGCAGAAACAACATTAATCAAAATCCACAAAAAAAATCCTTAAGCAGAGTTTGTAAAACCAAAGTCAGGCATACTGAGGGAAGTGACAACATCGGAAAAGGAAATCGCACTCGTTGATACATTGTGCTAATGATGAATGTGCAATACACACTGATCTCGTTAATGGGGGAGGCTGCCATCGCATCACACAAAGGGATTAGGGACCAGTCTACGTTAACATAAGCACGATCTCTTATAATTGTACAACCAAATGGCAACACGTTTAATTGTACTCTGGTTTTGAGCTGTAGCAAAAATACCTAGCCTAAAAACAAACATTTGTAACGTAGTGACCATATGTAACAAAAATCTGCCCACTAGATCTCAAATACTACACCAGTGTCACAGACTGAAATGTTCTCACCAAAATGTGATTTCCTGTCCATCTCTGTACAGATTCTGTTGAAATTTGCACCATAAGCCTTATAATGATAGTTCTACCTACCTAAACTAAAATTTAAAATGTTCAATAAGGTTTTGCTAATTCTTTTTTGAAAAAAGCAACAACATCATAATATATCTCAATCATTATTATCAAAATTATGGAAAACCTGAAATTCTCACCTCATAATTAATGAAAATTTTTGAATTTTTATCAGAATTTTTTTAATATTACCCCCAGGTCTCAACAGACTTACTCTGGTAACTTTTGTTGTGTAAGGTCTACTGTATTTGTGCTATTTTGCCTTTCTCAACAGTCTATATTTGTAAGTTTCTCTTGATCATAGTGAGCTACAGCCTAGGATTTACTTAGTTTGATAACCCAGTTATTTTGTTAGTGTCACCACAGGATGGAACAGCTTATATGCCAACTCTAGATATGAATTGTCCTATTGAGTTTAGTAATCAGAGAGCTGGGATTGAGCGAACTAGAACTAGCTGACATATTATACAGACATTGTGATCGTTGAGTTTGGTATAAATGAACTAACTGACATAGTGAACAGACTTTGATTATCAGTAAGCTGGGATTAAGTGAACTAGCTGATATAGTGTACACACTTTTGTGATGAGTAAGCTGGGATTGGTTGAACTAGCTGATATAGTGTACAGACTTTGATTATCAGTAAGCTGGGGTTAAATGAACTAGCTGATATAGTGTACAGACTTTTGTGAAAAGTGAGCTGAGGATTAAGTGAACTAGCTGATGTGGTGTACACACTTCTGTGATGAGTAAGCACGGATAGGTTGAACTAGCTGATATAGTGTACACACTTTTGTGAAAAGTGAGCTGGGATTAAGTGAACTAGCTGATGTGGTGTACACACTTCTGTGATGAGTAAGCACGGATAGGTTGAACTAGCTGATATAGTGTACACACTTTTGTGAAAAGTGAGATGGGATTAAGTGAACTAGCTGACATAGTGTACAGGCTTTGATTATCAGTGAGCTAGGATAGGTTGAACTAGCTGACATACTGTGTGTTCTGTAGTGATCAGTGAGCTGGGATGGAATGAACTAGAATTGACATAGGGTACAGGCTCACTCTGGTTGTATTTCTTGGTACAAGTCTTATGTCAAATGATTGAAATTTACTCCATTTTTTGGGAACACTTTTTGAAAAGCCTTCTTAGATCTGTGGAATCATGGTTTCAATATGCTATTGAAGAGCAGGTTTTTTTCTCTTGTCTGTAACAGTGAAAATGAAAATCTCTAAATTCATGTGTCACCCTTGACTCCTTAGCAAATAAAAGATTGAGGTTGGGGAATATCAGTGTGAGCCCTTGCTCACTTTGTTTTTTTTATTTTTGAGGGGTTTTATTTTGTTTATTTTTTAGGGACAGATTAAAATTGTATAACATAGATCTATTGAAAATAAAATTTAAGGAGAGAAGCATAAATATTGTATATCACTTTAGGATTTTCATGAAAAGTACATCCTTCCTGCCTCCAGATTTTGATAAAACTCTAAACCATTAAAAAACCCCTTCATAGATAACTATACCAGTAGTAAACTGGAGGTTTCACATTTTTTATCTAAGTATTGACTTCAAATGACCTTATCCAGCTGTTTTAGTATCAAAGTAAATCCCGATACTCCATGCCGTATAGAATGCGTGCCTTTAAAAGTGGTAGATGTTGTTTGGACTTCAGACTCTTGTTTACATCTAATATTAATACATAGCTTCATACAACACATAACGAGGAATTCAAAGAGAATATTTGTTAAAAGATATATATTGTCTTTATGATCAATAGATTGGGGAAGCGATGAAAAGCTCCACAAACCTTTGTTTATTTGTGTGGAGTAGTTGTCAACAGTTCATGTGAGCCTTAAGGCTTTACCTGCAGATCAACCATATTGAATTCCTCTCCTCTGGGAACCATTGACTGACGATAAAATGGATTTTTATCACAATCTCCACCATTTAATGCTGCTTTCGTTACTTTGATGACAATAATTGTCACTTACATGTAGATGCAATTTTTTTTAGCCTTACATAATGTGAAACAGGTCCCAATAACCAAGTCATTTTGACTACGAAGGGTTTGACTGATCGACGTTAACATAGTAAAAAAGCTTTTATGTAAAAATGTACAACATTTTGGCTGCTTAGCGTCTCAATTTGTGCTCTGTATATGTCTAGAAAGGACATCATTCCTCAATAACTACAGAGACAGACGGATTTTGATGTAACCTTGACTCAACCAAACTCTAACATGAAACATACAATCTAAACACATAAAACAGTTTTATTGAAAAAGGTCCCCTGTGTTAAAGGTCAAAGGTTACTTATTCGGGCACTGGAAGAGTCGGTCATATTTACAATGGATCAAAACCACTGTCCTGGAAACAATGAAGTTGGGTTTTATTAATGCTATAATGAAATACAGAGAATGTCATCTCATGGTAAAGAGATGGATATGTACATTTCGTATTGGAATGTCAGCTTTCATTTCTGTTTTTGTATTATTGGAATGTCAGCCTTCATTTCTGTTTTTGTATTATTGGAATGTCAGCTTTCATTTCTGTTTTTGTATTATTGGAATGTCAGCTTTCATTTCTGTTTTTGTATTAGTATTATTGGAATGTCAGCTTTCATTTCTGTTTTTGTATTATTGGAATGTCAGCTTTCATTTCTGTTTTTGTATTATTGGAATGTCAGCTTTCATTTCTGTTTTTGTATATAAATGGATAAGTTTAACAGATTCAATTCATTTAAGGTATACCAATTGATAATCACTAGAGAAAGACATATTACAGTTTATATGAAAATATCCTAGCCTTGGCTCATTGATATTCTCTTGTTTGAATTTATGTAATAAATGATGTGAAAACAGGCAATTATTACAAAAAGAGAAATTACCAAAAAAAAACAAAAAACAAAAACACAAAAAATATAATGAAAGTTCTGACCTGGAGAAGACATTGTAGTAAATAACAACTTTTCAAAAAATTAATATTCAAACATCCTACTATCTATAATGGGATTTACCATACTTGTTGTTTTCATGCTGTAATATTAGCCTTTGAGCTCTAAGCTAAGAGTCAGTGACTTTAAGTGGGCGAGTAGGGCAATGTACTAGTATACAGAACAATACAGTATCATAGGGGTGTGACATTTCTTCAGAGTGGGAGTAGATATGGGTGGGCTTATTATCAGACAAGGACCCTTACTGCCAGATAATTACAGAAAAAAAAGGTTAAATATCCCTATCATTTTTCTTTTCTTTTTACATTATCATTTGCATCTATTAAGAAGCCCTTATACTGTAAACTAATTGATTTTGGTGGCTGTTAATTTTCACTATTTTAATTTCCAAGACTATTTCACAGCAAAAAATGGCTGTTAATTTTCACTATTTTAATTTCCAAGACTATTTCACAGCATAAAATGGCTGTCAATTTTCACTATTTTAATTTCCAAGACTATTTCACAGCAAAATATTTTTGAGAACCTTGATTTTTTTATGATTGTGTTTTAAAGATACTGTAAATAAACTTATTTCAGTGGTGATTTTTTTTAGCACTTTTGTGCAATAATTGTGAATTTTACATTTTGTTTGCAAGCAACTATTATGGAGGTGCAACTTCCTCAGTGCAACCTTTTGTCAAATGTGATACTGCTCTAAAATTTGAATGCAATATATTTTGTACATTTCACAATTCATGAACTTTGCGAAAATTAACTGCTCACAAATATTTGTTGGTTAACAGCATTTTGTATTTATATATTGCAGTGTCTACATGCCAAATACTTGTTACAACTTCTTCATGAAACTCGAGCCGCGCTCAAGCAGAAGAGCAACATCAATCATGCGACCATTTCCATCTCCAAACAAATTACCGTGTGTGGTGACCTCCATGGCAAACTTGACGACCTTTACATGGTCTTTCATAAGGTAAAAACATGTTAAAAAATACAATCTCCACTTGACACAGAATGTGAAATATGCAGGAGATATCAAACATGTCATCAAGATTTTCCGTATTATCACGTCCGTTTTAGTACTTTAATTCTAAGAAATTCATGGGCATAGAATCTCATTTGAGCCTTAAATTACACTAGCTATGACTTTCTAAATTTTTCGTTATTAATTTGATCCTAAGTCATATCCTGATATTAATATTTTGCTTTGACGTTGTTTGATGAATTAAGAGTAGTGGACACTTATCTCAAAAACAAATTTTATAAAGCATGTAAGACTAATCATAGCCTCTGCTGAAAATCTGAGGTGGTGGTTAGATCCAAACCCCGCACGGTGTGTGTTTCACTGGTGGTAGAGAGGTTGTGAAGGCCAAACCTCTTTAGGCTGACATTGACACCCTCTCCTTCCACCCACCCCTGGATTCTGAGTCTGAAATAAAAATATTAGAGAAGTGTAAAAGTATGTGATGTAATACATTCTAAAAGTTTTTGGGAGGTTATCCATTATTGTGTTATAATTGTCAAAAATTTTATTCTTTTTTCTCTTTCAGAATGGTCTGCCTTCAGTTGACAATCCATATATCTTCAATGGAGACTTCGTAGACAGGGGGAATAACTCTGTAGAGATATCTGTGATACTTTTTACATGTTTTTTGTTAAATCCTAATGAGGTGTATATAAATCGTGGTAACCACGAGGACCACATCATGAACATACGGTATGTATATGGTTCACTGTTAAAAATTTCACCTGTCAAATCCATTATATAATCTGAAAACAAGGGCTCACTCTGCCTCTAAATTTCATTTCACCAAATTTTCTAGTCACTGAAACAGCGCATCCCTGGTGTATCATGGCAATTTCATAATTTCCAAAATTGCCAAAATTATTCCATTTTTAGCTATTTGCAATGTTGATGACCAACAGTATGAGCCCTGGAAAGCAGATATTTAAAATATCTTGAAAACTGGAAAATTCTGATATCCACTTACTTCTTAAAAAAATAACTATAAATGATATTTGGTACTGATGATACGCCATTTTGCTTCTTTGTACATTGCAGTAGAAGTACTTAAAATATAAAAAAAAAAATATGTTTGAAAAGATCCTATTGTTGGGAGATTCAAACTCGCCGCAATCTATTTTGAGAAAATTCATAACCTAGAATGTCAAACACTCACTTCATATTAATTTCCCCTAAAATAGTCATAAAAACAGGTCATATTTAAGTGGAGCTTTAAACACAATATTTTGTTAAAAATTCTATTGGGATCAATGAATTTCAATTCAAAGTGTAGCACTCCATGGATCACTCACAAATGTACAATAGAGGAATATTAGTAATTTTTAGAAAAATCTTCCTCTTTGGAATGGATGTAAAGATTTTGAATACATTTGGTAAATAACGTTCTTAGATTAAGGAAGATATAGGTAAACCTCTGTTTTATATGGTAAGCTAACCCCTAGTAGCAAACAACTTTAAATGGTTAATCATCCCCTTTTTGTTCCAGGTACGGGTTTGTAAAAGAAGTAAACAAGAAGTACTCAGTGAGTATGTAAATTCAACACTGTTGTAGTGTATTGTATATAGGTATAATGAGTACAGGTATTAATCCAGCGATTGAAAGAAACTGGCATCATATAACCAAAGTCCTCACACGACAATATCATATGCTGCATACTGTAATACCATTAATTTTTGTGGGTTCTTTATTTTCCTTGATGTTGTTGGTACTCTTAATCCACAAATTCATATATCTATGTAATGATAAAACTGACAAAAAGTTTTTGGTGTTTGTAAGTTTCGTGAATAATAATTATCCATGAAATTCCATGCCTGAAAATTTGGCCCCTAAAAAATATGGTGCTACTCTAAAGTATGCACTATTCTTTTCATAAAGACTGGCCTTTAATGTCCAGCATCTTTCCATAGATTTTGTTCAACATGATATTAACATTGTAAGGACAATAACAAATAATATAGGAAAGAAAATGTCAACTTACAATGGAATTTGCACTTAAACTATGGACATTTTTGAAAGAAAAAACATTTATAAACTCAAATATGAAGAAGCATTGAAGACCTCTGGTACATGCTAATGGAAATATTCCTTATAGTATTTTGACTGAAATCAGTTGGAAATATCAGGAATGTTATTGATAAACAGAAAGTGTTTTAATGGATTCAAATGCATTGTTTACACTTTAATCTTGATGGTATGACAAAACACCAGTAAATATATCCAGTTTCTGCAGGCATGTTCTGTTAAAACAACATGTTTCATATCTAAGAGGCAAAAAGCCCAAAGAACCAACACATTACATACCGATATTACACACTGTCAAGGGATGGGCTTATTACAGGACAATGACCCAAGGGACACACCACATTACATATTACTCACAGTCAAGGGATGGGCTTATTACAGGACAATGACCCAAGGGCACAACACATTACATATTACACACAGTCAAGGGATGGGCTTATGGGTTTGTGATTTACTACTGTTAAGGCTTTGTCGTGTTGTGTTGTATTGATGAAGGGGTACCATCTGTATTCTGTCTTTCTATCTGTCTGTGACTCTAAATAAGCCTTTGTTTAGTTTCATTCCTTTGTTGCTTTGCATACATTACTGTTATAAATGGTTGTTGTAAATTATTTTTTGTTGTTTCCTCAGCGGAAATTATCGGTCACTATGACGCGAGGTTTGACCATATTGATCCTTTAAAAGGCCCATGGGGCCAATACAAAATTCAAATCCAAAAAAGATGATGGGCTTATTGCAGGAAAATGAAACTGCATCCATAGGCATTTGATTTATACTTCATCAGAGATGGGTGGGCTTATTACCAGGCATGGGCTTAATATGAAATATGGTAGCTCAGGTTGAGTAGGCTTTGTATCTACAGCAAAATTGAAATTTCAGCATATATGTTACAAATATTTTTAGAATCCATATCAGGTCTTCTGACTTGAACTTTGTAAAACTAGGTTTCTTTTTTTTTTTTTTTTTGCTTCCATTTCTTTCTGACCTAGCACTCTGCCGGTAACTTTGTGTATGTGGATCAGAATCATTTCTGAAGTCCAGAAAACTGAATTTTGTCAAGTAGAAAATATCAAAGGTTAAAGTATTTAGCAGGAGACTGCAATCCTAGCACTTGGAATTAATTAGTTTTTTATCTCGTTAGCCTTTGCTGTTCACTTCCGTAGGTAACTAATTATCAATAAACAAAATTCTGCCTACTGACTTAATTCTATTGTTACCCAAACTACTTGTTGTATTGGTTGTTGGAAATCAATCCATCAATTTATTAAATTAGTTTATCATTGATTGCATGAAACCTACACCACCAAACAGTACTCAATGCCACTCAGTACTCATTGTACTGCTCATTACACTGTACTACTCATTACGCATAATCACTCAGTACTCAATGCCACTCAGTACTCATTGTACTGCTCATTACACTGTACTACTCATTACGCATAATCACTGAGTACTCAGTGCCACTCAGTACTCATTGTTCCACTCATTACTCAGTATCACTCATTACGCATAATCACTCAGTACTCAGTGTCACTCATTACTCAGTATCACTCATTACGCATAATCACTGAGTACTCAGTGCCACTCAGTACTCATTGTTCCACTCATTACTCAGTATCACTCATTACGCATAATCACTCAGTACTCAGTGTCACTCATTACTCAGTATCACTCATTACGCATAATCACTCAGTATTCAGTATCACTCATTACTCAGTATCACTCATTACACAATACCACTCATTACTCAGTATCACTCATTACACATAATCACTCATTACTCAGTATCACTCATTACACATAATCACTCATTACTCAGTATCACTCATTACTCAGTATCACTCATTACACAGCACCACTCATTACACAATACCACTCATTACTCAGTATCACTCATTACACAGCACCACTCATTACACAATACCACTCATTACACAATACCACTCATTACTCAGTATCACTCATTATACAGCACCACTCATTACACAATACCACTCATTACACAATACCACTCAGTACTCAGTATCACTCATTACACAGCACCACTCATTACACAATACCACTCAGTACTCAGTATCACTCATTACACAATACCACTCATTACACAATACCACTCAGTACTCAGTATCACTCATTACACAATACCACTCATTACACAATACCACTCAGTACTCAGTATCACTCATTACACAGCACCACTCATTACACAATACCACTCAGTACTCAGTATCACTCATTACTCAGTATCACTCATTACACAGCACCACTCATTACACAGCACCACTCATTACACAGTATCACTCATTACACAATACCACTCAGTACTCAGTATCACTCATTACACAGCACCACTCATTACACAGCACCACTCATTACTCAGTATCACTCATTACACAATACCACTCATTACACAATACCACTCATTACTCGGTATCACTCATTACACAGTATCACTCATTACACAATACCACTCATTACTCAGTATCACTCATTACACAGCACCACTCATTACACAGCACCACTCATTACACAATACCACTCAGTACTCAGTATCACTCATTACACAGCACCACTCATTACACAATACCACTCAGTACTCAGTATCACTCATTACACAATACCACTCATTACTCAGTATCACTCATTACACAGCACCACTCATTACACAATACCACTCATTACTCGGTATCACTCATTACACAGCACCACTCATTACACAATACCACTCAGTACTCAGTATCACTCATTACACAGCACCACTCATTACACAATACCACTCAGTACTCAGTATCACTCATTACACAATACCACTCATTACTCAGTATCACTCATTACACAGCACCACTCATTAAACAATACCACTCAGTACTCAGTATCACTCATTACACAGCACCACTCATTACACAATACCACTCAGTACTCAGTATCACTCATTACACAATACCACTCATTACTCAGTATCACTCATTACACAGCACCACTCATTACACAATACCACTCAGTACTCAGTATCACTCATTACACAATACCACTCATTACTCAGTATCACTCATTACACAGCACCACTCATTACACAATACCACTCAGTACTCAGTATCACTCATTACACAGTATCACTCAGTGTTGTTTATTGTCTATTGTTAATGTGAATTGTGTTTTTCCCAACAAAATCTGTATCTAAAGCAATATCTTATACATTATACTATATATAATGATGGAATGTGTGCAACTGTATCAAAATTTTCAGTTTTCAAACTTTTAAAAAGGAAGAAGGAAAATATGACAGTTTTGAATGTCTTTTTCCAAATCACAATCATTATGATGTATGTCATGTATTTGAGAGGTTCAGTGTTTTCGTTGTCTCAAAGGATGGACTGAAATTGCAATTTCAATTGTAATTAATTGCAAGAATAAATGAATAAAGAAAAAAAATGCTTTGAAAGAAAAAAGAAAGAAAAAGAAATAAAAAATGTGTGCCATGACTTCTGTGAAGAACAATGTGTATCCTTTTGGTTTATACTTTTGATAAAAGAGTAAAAAATTGGAATCGATCGAGGAAAAATATGTACCATATGTAAAGTGATTTTACACTGGAGATACACGTGACTATCACATATCAAAATTAGAGTCTCACACCAATATTTTGTTACTATATGACAGCCATGAGCTTGAGACATATCTAAGAAGGCTTGAGTTATCTCCCTGTAAGAATTACAAAGTAACTTCTATTCGTGTTTCATTTTAATCTTTAGGCCCATGCCAATTGCATCCTTAGACTCTTTGAAGACCTGTTCAGTTGGTTGCCTCTGGCGACCATTATTGACGACAAGGTACTGGTGGTCCATGGTGGCTTCTCTAATACAACAGATCTGGATGTCATAGCAAAGATTGACCGACACAAGGTAAGGTGTAGTAAGACAAGGGGAGTAACTCCTGATGGGTTTAAGTTTTAGTAATACAAGGGGAGTAACTCCTAATGGGTTTAGATGATGAGTAATTCTGATCTGGACTGAATTGCCTACAAATTTAAGCCTAGCTACATAACAACTAAATTGTCTGATGTCCATCTGTCTTCTAACCATTCTTTGATTGTGAATTTACTTTCTGAAAGATAAGTGACTGAAATAACTATATCTGAAAATAAATAAAATAAACTTTAGTTATGATGCCTTATTTGAGAAATAACTATCTTGGATGAATTTCTGTCATTTGTTTATGGTGAAGTTGGTTAGTTCCTTACCATCTTGTCCACTACGTATGTCAGTGCTAGTATTTTCCATACTGGTCATTATTTGTCTGAAGGTGACCTAGTAGTCATCAAAACGTCACACTCTAATTTTTTACTGGTTATGTAATAAGAACTTCTATTCTACTGACGTTACTAGCCTGCAGAAAATGTTTTAAAATGCTGTCATTTGCGATCAGTTATGTAACCTTGAAACTTAATCGAGGTCTCTGAAGGGTCAAATATACTAAAAATCATAACGAAATTTTCTACAGTATCAAAAGTTCTATCATCATAGAATCTGTAGGTCTTTTACCATAAAGTGGTTCCAGATCATATTTACATTGTACTTTCAATTATCAAATTTCTGATATGACTCTATCTAATGTAAACTTAAAAAAGAAGATCACAATTTGACTGCTCATAAAACAAGTATGGCCAAAAGCAAATGCGTTAAATTCCTAACCAAGTTTTCCCCTATTAACCATGGGGCAATAGAGGAATGATGTTGGGTCTGTAGTTTGTTGGCTATAGAAGCAGTACCATATTCAACCCGTGTCCATATCCAATAAGTGATCAATTCCCCTGTTATTTTCTGGTCAGATGGTACTCACAATCATGCACAAGAAAGAAAACTTTTGAATCTATTTAAGCAAATCTGGTTCCCCAGCAGCAGAAGGACACTAATTATTACCACTGGTTTTTACAATTTTATTGCCCCCTTTAATGAAAAATTTTACTGGATCTGCTACATCTTATTAATTCATCCTTTCAATTCTGGATCTTTAAGTGCCATTGATGTTTAATGGGTCAAATACAGTATAATATGGTAAAATATGATATCATGTTGGATCAAGCAAAAACCACCGCATATATAATGATCATAATATCATCAGATTTATCACAAAGTCCAAAATGCATAAATGTTGATTCTATTTTTTTGCAGTTTCTGTCAACATTACATCCATCCCGGGGTTTTGATGATGAAAATCTGACAGAAGTTGAATTGCAGGAATGGAAACAGGTATAGTATCACTCTTGTCTGAAACCAAAATGAATGAATATTGTTTGAGATGTTTAAACTAACCAATGATTTCATCTGATACTTAACCATACAAATACTACATAGGGTGATGTGTACACATCACATGGTGTGTATTTAACAAACACTTTGCAGAACAAAACTAGATTATTTTTAATATATTTACATAAATTTATTAGGAAAGAAGAGTAATGCTCCTTTGTTCTTTAAAATTAAATTTAAAAACTGATGATTTCTACATATTGTTATTATATAGTCACCAATAGCAGCCATTAATACCATAGTCAAAGTTTTGAAGTAAGGCCATACCTGGTAATAAACTCCCCATACCAGTATCTTACTTTGTATAGAAACACAGTTCTACTGCAATATCATTAATTTTTGGGGAGTGTTTATTTTCGTTGCTTTTGTCGGTACTCTATATCCACTTATTCATATGGCTGTGAACTGTTAACACCAGTTAAAGTAGATTTATTCAGCTAAATTTATCAACGAAATCAAGTGCCAAAGAAATAGGATTTTTTTGAAACACCATGGAAATTGAGTCCCATGTAAATATATCGGAGTATATTGTTGTCACACAATCAGAGCCCTCATTCTTACTCTGAGTCACTCAGATGTTATATTTGCCAGAGGTATCACTATTACTATATATTATTCCTATGCTTTGAATTATTACACTGTTCTGAAGATGGAATACCTACTTTGCTCACATGTCCACTGATAAATTTTGCTGATACCTTCCTGTGGATGCTGTCCAGTCATCACTACCTCCATTATCTATACTTAGTAGGTTATATATCATCAATATGTCCATCAATCTGTTTCATTATCAACTGATGGTTTGGTGGCATGGGTTTATATTTTTTCTCTTTAGTTTCATTCGCTAACTTTTTAAAAATATTTTAGGTCCTTGATCTTCTTTGGAGTGATCCTCGAATGCAAGATGGCTGCCTCCCCAACACATTCCGAGGAGGAGGAAGTTACTTTGGTCCTGATGTTACGACAATGATCCTAAACAAACACAACTTACAACGACTCATTCGATCTCACGAGTGTAAGGTGGAGGGATACGAATATACTCACAATGATAAGGTACACCACCCTCATTCCAACGTCAACAACCTCAGAAATTTGTTTGAAGAAACATTGCAAATTCCTTAAATCTAATTCACTGCAATAACAGAACCCATAGTTTCCACAACCTGCAGATTAATGATGTTCTTAAGGCAGTCTCTTACATATTAAGTTGACAAAAATAACTACAATGTAGAGTGACATTTTCTGTAGATAGCTAGGTGATTCCTTATTACAGCTTACACATAAACATACTCCTTGTGTATAATGCCTGCTTCTGTTTTCTGATAGGTTATTGTGTCTTGGATGTGAACATCTGTACACAGTACTCAAATTGTGTTTGAATTATCTCCCTTAATTTGTGTATTTAGAACTGTTTGACTTCTCTCCCTTTGTAGTCAGCTAAACTTCATGCATTTATAAAGGATAAATTTCAGGTTGTAAGGTCACCATCAGTATTTCTTGCCTGAGTGGCCGATTGGCTTCATTCCTCAAGGGAATTAAATCAAACGTCGCGCACTTGGCCAACTTCTTTATTGTACATAATTTGAGGAGAAAACATCAGGGAATTTGTATCCATAGCAGTGCCTTGTTTAATATCAAAATCATTTCATGTACTGGCAAAAATGTTGTCATATTTATTGTCATAAATTTTAATATCATAAATACCTGTTTATTTTGTGCTGGAGTATTTGTCTTTGGTGGGGCTGAATCATTGCTACATAGATTTATACAAACAAGAGATTCATGATTTCACATCATGAGATTTGGTGCTATGTTATGATTTTAAAGATAAGTTTATTCTATATTCCAGGTTCTGACAATATTCTCTGCCTCTAACTACTATGAGGTTGGCAGCAACAAAGGTGCTTACATCAAAATGACCGGCCCTGACCTCTCTTGTCACATTGTCCAGTATATGGTCAACAAACAGTCCACCAAACGCAAAATTACCTTTACCAAAAGGTATGTCAATCATTTTTGGCTGAAAAGTATTACTGCTGAAACATGAAAAAATTAAATTTGGTCTGAAGCATCCATGTGTGAAGAGGAAACAATCTTGTATTAAAGCTGGTCTCCGTCTCTTTTGGCTGGGCTCAAAGCAAAAAAGGAAATAAAGCAAATTCTTTAAAATCATTCTTCTTTTGTAGGAATGCCTCGATTTAGTTCCAGTTTAGTCTGAAGCATCCTTGGGTGAAAGGGAATCAATTTAGCATATATGATAGCTTTGGCCACCTGGGTCAGGAGTCATAATCAATATGGGAAACAGATACATTTAAATCTTTCTTATTCTGCAGGAATCTCAAGATTCTATTCAAATTTGGTCTGAAGCATCCATGGGTGAAGATCACCAGTGTGTATAAACACAGGGTCTGACCCCCTGGGGGCAGAGGGACAGGTTCTGGTATGGGAAATAGAAAAGTAATTTTTAAATCCTTCTGTAGTAATCGGTTAAAGTTAGCAAACAAATTTGATCTGCAACATCAAGGGAAAGAGGAACTCAGTTTTGTATAAATGTTGGGTATGAACCCCAACCAAGAGGGAGAGAGGGAGAGGAGTAGAGTGACAGGGGAAATAGAGGAATCACATCAGAAAAAGGATAGATAGATGTCATCTTTGAAATCCATTTTCTGTTACAATGAAAATGTTTTGATCAAATTTTACTTCAAATATTCTTGGGGGAAGGGGATTCAGTTCTGTGTAAACCAAGATTCTGCATAGGATCAGTGCACAATTTGAGGTAAAAGTTCCAAATTATTCTTTTACTTCTTGGATGTGGGCATTTTGTCAGGTTTTTGTTTCAAACTCAAAAATTCCTCACCTTTTGGGAAAAAATGTAACAATATAATTGTGAATAAAAATATTATAAGGGAAAGCTGAAATATCCAGGTGAGCAATACAGGCCCCATGGGCTTATTATTCTCACCTGACCTGGAAGGTACATAAACTGAAACTCATAATCACTGTAACCAAGAGATACTTCAATTATTTTTTACTGCACTGACGTAGAAGATGCAGGTACTGATGTCTTCGTGCCATGGCTTCATTGTCAATGAAGCATAAGCCTTCTGGCTTGCATTTTTTTTCTTGAAGAACTTCTACACTTTTGAAAAGAACTTCAGAAGAATTTTAAATACCAGTGATAAATGCAGGGAGTTTGTATTTGTGTGGGAGAATTTCAACTTTAGTTAGCATGAAGCATCTTTGGTAAAGAAAATGCTTTGTAGTTTACTGTAATGTGACTACCTTGGAGAAGAGGTGTTGGACCAAATACAAATTTCATAACTAGCTCATTTGGTATCCATTGAGATATTTGAAATTATCATTATAGTTGATGTCTTAATTGTATAGAATATACAACAATCATTGTAATGTTTATTACCTGTAGGATCAGCCAGGTAGAAAAAATAGCCATGAGGGATCTCAAGAGGAAGATTCTGGGCTGTCAGACCGAACTAATGACTCACTTCAAAGCACATGACTCTGAGAATAAAGGTATAGTTACAGTAAAAAAGACTACTTCTCTAGAAAAGCTGAAAATATTTTTACTAAATAGTACTAATAGTAACATATAAGATTCAATCTTTTTGTATTTAAATGACATACTTCATGCTGTGATCCATTTCAATATTTCTATAAATAATTCATGCAATTTTTTTTTGTACATGTACACATCATCAGACCATTCTAATTTACAATAATTTTGATGTTCATGTTTTGTCTGCTAAGATGTAAAATGAAGTTAAATGGGGATAGATTTGATAAAGTCTATCATAACTTATTTTTGTTTAAACCCTAAACAATCAGTACACCTAGGAACAAGAATGATTTGTCATCAAAACGCGACATATTCTATCCTTGTTATTTAGGTTAAACAATGCCAAATTCACATCATTTTCATTGTGGATTTATGTACCACTGAAACATTTTATGTATCAGAGCTCTATATCTAACCTGTTCAAGTCTTGAAAAACACAATTTAAGGCTACTGCAATTAACAAGCAATAACCCCACAATAAATTCTGAAATGTATTTGGTAAATGGGCTTATTACAGGGGAATGAAACAGTGTTTGTTTAAAATCCTGCTGAAAATTGATAGATATGGATGAGCTTATTACTAGACAAGGGCTTATTATTGATAAATGAAGATGAATAATAACCAGTTTTTCACTGTAGGTATTATCTCGGTGATAGAGTGGTGTAATGTACTGGAGGGAATCATGCAGATGGAGCTGCCCTGGAGGACGATGCGACCTCACCTGGCCAAGTGTGATGTGAATGGTGCCGTTCTTTATGGCACAACATTCAGTGATATGAAGCTATATCATGGCTTTACTGAGGTAATACAGTTGTCTGTGTAGAGGTCACCTTTTTCTGTAGAAAACAGCTCTATCTGTAGATGTCACAACTGTCTTCACAGTTTACAACTACTAATTGAGCTCAGTATCCTAATTCGATGAAATATGCCCCAGGTTATGTATAACATCACCAACTGAATTGTAAACATGACTGAATTGTTGCAGAGTGGACACAGCATCACAGAGCTCCTGTACAGAAACAAGGATAGTCTGGAGACCATCTTCAGGATCTTTGACAAAGACAATTCAGGTACAATTAGAAGATGTAAAGCTCAAACATGACTTCAGATTTAACTGTAAAATTGTACTATACATATCAACTTATAAACCTCACTGGAATCATAATCTAGTTTTGAAAGGAGAAAAAAAATTTTTAATTTTACCTACCACATGATTTTAAGACCAAACTAAAATTCAAGAGAAAAAAATGTTTGTAATGCCCCAGCTCCCATGCTTTTAAGTATAATTGTTTGGTGAATTTACAAATATGAACTTTGACCTCCTTAATGTGTAGAACTTTATATTATGATCTGTTGGGAGGTTCACCATTTGGAAGGCAAAGTAATGATCCAAGATGGTTGATAATGAATTGTTTCTAAAGTCATTGTCTGCCCTAGTTTTTAACCCTTTTTTTTTTTTTATTTCTAGGTACCATCTCGATGGAAGAGTTTGAGGAGGCTCTTGATGTTATGATAAACACCCAGGAAATATCTGTATCACGAGACCAAGTCAAAGACATTGCACATAGTCTCGACTTGAATAATGATGGATTCATTGACTTTAATGAGTTTTTGGAAGCTTTTAGGATTGTTGATCCATATGGGAAGGAAACACGTAAAAGTTTATCAGGTAACTCGGAAACTGACTCCTTAGGGACGGATGACAATGAACTGTGTACACCTGGCAAGAAAGCCGACGAACTAAGGTCACGCAAAATATCTAAACTTCATAATATTGAGGAAATGGAGATATCAGAGGCATGACATAAATGACATTTAGAGAAATCAAAATCTCTGATTCATTATCTTCAAATGAGTGATATCAAAGAAAAAGAATTTTTTGATGCGTTATTCCCCGAGATGTAACCCTGATATCAATGAAATGGAGATATCTGAATAATATTAGGGATGTAGACCATTATCATCTCTGAAGCAAGTTTCAAAGTGTAGGCGGATATCATTGAAGTAGAGATCTGTGATTGAAATCTCTAAGGTGCAGTTGGATATCAAGGAAATGGAGATCTCTGAAGCAAGAAATGGAGATCTCACAAACAAAAAGTGGAGATCTCTTGAGCAAGAAATGGAGATGCCTGAAGAGTAATATCTTTCATGTGAATAACTCCAGGCTTTAATGCAAGATACGGTAGGATGTGATTTCCTATGTGTTAATTTTGTGACATCTAGGAAATTGGCAATCTTCAAAGTTTAACTCTTAATGCTCCAGAACTGAAGTTTTCCTTAAGTCTGAGAGTTTTTTTTCTTAATCAATTATTTAAAATATTTTTTATACCTAAATGGAAGTAAAGTATCATCTATTTATCATTTAAACCGTCATCATTTTTGTACAAATTAAATGTTTTTATTTCAAATCCTTTTTATTTATAATCTGAAGTGAACTAACGATATTGAAATTACAGGAAAAGTATTTTTCAGTATAGTGTTTGTGTTGAAGCAGCTCATATCAAAACAAGAGATCTTATCTCACTTATCGTGTCATTCATTTTTTCTGTCTCAATACATGGTACATGTATATATGCATTGAATACCAGTGCTAATTTGTGCTATCTAATTTTAAACATTCCACAACCTTTGGGCAGATTAGTGTAAAGATGAATTTGTGTAAACAAAAACAATTGCTGTAACAATGCAATTTTCAGTAGGAAATCTTCAGAGTGAAAAGTACTAAAAAATGATAAATACTGAAATATGTTTACAGTATTGAAATCAAAGAAAACATCTCTGAACCCCAAATGATATTAAATACAGGTGATAGCAGCATAACGGTGTTGTCTTCAGCAGGTTTTGCTTTTTCTACAGAAACACTGCCTAACACTTCTACAAGGTGAAGATCAAAAGAGAATTCGTTAACTTTGAGAACAAATGCTTGATGATTTGTCTTGTTGGAATGCAGAGTTCTCTGATGTTATTGGCATGTATCGATTGTGACGTTCCACAAACAGATGATGGAACAATCATATCTTTCTCACAAGAGTAGACAACTCTGCATTACGAAAAGATGGAATATGGAAATCCAAATCATTTAAACATTAACTGATTGTGATAGGAAGTGTTTATCTGAGCAAACAGAATGTTTGTTCAAAATACCATAACGAATTTCATGGATCATTAAACAGCATCAGTTTTAGAATACATCTACCTTCAGAGTTCACAGATGGATAATTACATATTTATTACATCAGTTCACATCAATATATCAAATGCTATAATATTCACACAGGTATGTGTTGCTTTTGTTAACCAATTCAATCTAGCAGAACCCAGGCTTGCTAAAGGTTCCTATTATTTCAGTAGTATTGTCGTAATGAATTTTCATTTGCAATGTGGCATCATTGATTTTACTTTGAACAAAAAAGTTAAATTATATTGGTTTGAAATTATTTAGAAATATTTGCAGTATATCTTGTGACAAAGAGAACATACATTTCCAAAGCAATTTGAAATCAAAGCATTCACATTTTGTCAAAGAATTCCACCATGAAATGCAAGATCCTTTTTTGTATCTTACTAAATGTTTTAAACTTTGTTTGACCAGAATGGTCAGCGATGTTAACATTTAATTATCATATTTAACTGGGTATTTGCAGAGGAGTTGATATTTGTATGTGGAGCCTAAGTATGCCAATTTTAAAACCTAAACACTTCACAATTGGGATTACCCAAGAATTTTCAAGACACTTCCAAAAATCAGGTTGCTCTGGTAGTACTATACTCATAACAAAATTCTTCGGGATTGATATTCACCAATATAATCAAAATGCATTGCAGACAAAATTTATACCTGGACTGGTCTTTGTAGTCATGAGCATGTACTAGTTTTTGTTGTAGTCCACTTTATTTGCTTCTTTTTTCATACCAGCCAAAACAGTGCTATGATAGAGACAATAAAGATTTTCTTATGTCAGCAAGTCTTATTCTCTTCTTTACTGAACAAATTGTCTTCAGTATCTTAAATAACATTAATGAGACATTCTTATTGTTTGAGAAGATTTCAGAGATGTTTCAATAACTGAAATTTTTTTTTTCTTTTTTATTTCAACTTAAGGAAAAGTATACCATATAGAGTACTTGCATACTTTACCTTTGTCAGATCAAAATGATTATTGGTTGTTAGGATCACAGACGTGGTCGAAACATCCTACACACCGACTGGTAGTAGAATAAGGATCACAGACGTGGTTGAAACATCCTACACGCCGTCTGGTTGTAGAATAAGGATTACAGATGTGGTCGAAACATCCTACACACCGACTGGTTGTAGAATAAGAGTTAGACGTGGTATAAACATCCTACACACCGACTGGTTGTAGAATAAGGATAACAGATTGAGTTGAAACATAACATGTGATAAATAAGTGTCCATAAATGTTTTTATGCTAAATTTTTTAAGCATGAACACATACTTGCAATACAGCTGTGTGACAGAAAATCACACCAGGATATCCTTAACCATCATGCCTCAGTTCTTTAAAGAACGGTTAGAAATTACCAGCAAAAAGTCAAAATGTTCAAATATGAATAACAATCCAGAACATATTTTGAGTGCCACTTATGCTTTTGAAGTCTTTTCAGTGATGATAATTTGAACTTTTCATTAACCACTGGTTAAACTTGATGTTTGTGCAACAGCGTCCAGTGAATAAGACCCCCTAGTGCTTCCATCCAATGTTTTTTACTGAAGATTTGCCATTTTCTTTGGATAAATTCCAGTAAAAGAGTCACCTGACCCTAGGACTAAGATAAATCACCTCTACTCATGGTTTAGTCTATCACTTTCTAAGCAAACAGTGAAATTCTATAGTTGGTACCCCTGAACAAAACATGGGGAATACTGGGGCACGATAGTTATTTTACTGGAATAACTGACAATTTTAGAGTATAGCAAGCACCAATATTTTAATCAGACTGACTTGCAATTTAGAACATGATGCACTAGCTAATAGTGGGTGAAACCCCCAAATGAAGTGGTCAGCTATTATTCAGCTAACCTGAAATAAAAACAAACAGCCAATTTTATTTTAATTAAAAAGTTTTATATGTAAAATTCAGTATCTACACACCAATTTAAATAATTATAATCATGATGCAATTATCCCTAATACAACAAAATGGGAATGTGCTGCCCTTAAGATAAATCATGTCACCTCCATAAGGTCTCCTAGTTCATCTGTCACACCTATGACTAAAAATCTTTGCACATCTTCACCCCATGCTATTATTCTAAAAGACATTCATCCCATACAAATCATCCATAAAAATAAAATTGAACACAATCATACATAATCTGTGAAAGTTTACAGGCATCAAGCAAACACGCACATGATCATTTTAGTAACATCCTCAGAAAGAGAAACACAATAAAAGTTTTGTACAGAGAAGGTATGTAGTACTATGTACAAAGGTGCAAACAATAACAGGAAGGAGGTATGGATAAATAATAAGACAACCATATCAACTCTACATTATGGATAAAAAACATATCAAGATTTATTTATGATCAACGTTCCTACATTAAGTTATCCATGGCAGCAATAAAGCTTTGGTTTTAAAACAAAATAAAAAAAAAAATGCCAGAATAATCACGTAGTCAGTTGATTAAAGGTGTTAAAACCTTAAAAGATCAACAGTTAAAAAACAGAAGAGGGAAGAAAAGTGCTGAATGTAACATTAAAATACAAACATGCATTGAAAACTAATAAATAAATAGCTGTCAAGTTGTAACAAAATGTCCCCCTCCCTTGATTACTATGAAATCATTAAAAGTTACTCTTTGGAGGACAAATCTAAATAAGTTATGAATTTGTTTTCAATAAAATTTCATTATCAATTAGGAATTTTATACTAATCAAACTTCATTAATCAGAATTTTTATTTTAGGGAGAATTTTTTCACAAATCCATGTTAGAATGTTTTCTGAAAACTGACAATTCTTTTTCAGTGAACAATTTTCATAATGTTCAGACAGAAAATGGAAAACTTCTTTTAAAAGATTGATTCTATCAGACATTATATTGGAAACTTCAGGTATATCGCATAAGGCATGAACTTTTCTAGTACTGCTGAAATAAATAGTATTTTGCATGTCTTGGAAAAATAGGGAATCCACTACTGGTCATTGTCTTGTATGAAATGAAAATTGTAACTAGCACCATCCAATTTTGGATTAAAGATAAATTGTTTTGTTCATGATTTTTTTTTTAAAAATGACAACAGAAGGGGTTTTGCATTGATTACAGGAAAACATTCCATTAATCATAAATATTAAAAAAAATATCATTTGACTCAAAAATTTCTGTATTCATTCAACCAATGCCCCTGTAGATAGCATTAAACTTAAGTACAAAACCTCACAACTTTTCATTTCATTCATATAAATTCCATTGAATTGTAAAAAAGCAGTGAAAAGATAAAAGAGCAAACTGATGTTTAAAACCAAATTTTCCCCGTAATATCACTAGAAACTAAGTTGATGAAAACAATAAAATGAGGCAGTTTGTATTGCACCTAGGGCTAAAACGCAAAGGACTGCTACTTCCTCTCGTCAATGTATGGTTGGAAGGAACTCAAAAGAAACCAGTTCATAGTAACACTCTGGTGCTGCATGGAGACCAGAAGCATACACAACTCATAAAAACTTTGGTCCAACCTACATTCTCTCCCTTGAACACATAATTGGCAGTTGGTCTAGCTGGTTGTATCGTCACGTCAAATGGTTTGACAGACCACAGCAATTAATGAAAGAACTTGGTATGACATACTCCTGAGTGGGCCACATGCAGGGAAGCGCATAGCCCCCTGGGTTGGGACTGGGGACTTCCCCTTGTACAGCTTCAGGACTCGAGACTCCTGTCACTTTGTCTATAACGACAGCTGAGCTGGTGGTGGGTACTTGCTGAAGTTGGACACTTCATGATGTCTGCAAAGAAATGTGGAAAGAAATTACAGCAAAACTCTTGCTTGAAGTATCAAGTTTCATAAGCTTGAATAAGTATTCTAAATACCTCATAAATCCATAGTTAATTGATGACCGAAGATTGCAATGTTTTTGGTATTGGACTTTTTCACTGAAGATCGACATGAAAAATCTACACAATAACTTCTCAGTTTACAAAGACTTATCCTGTGATCATTAAGATATTTGTCTAGTTATCAGGTCATTAAGTGTTCCTTGTTATGTACCCTAATTAGTTATGTATATACTCACTTTGTGTGTTTGTACTTCTCCATGACGGCCTGCTGTGGGTGTTTTGGGGCATTGCAGTAGGCATTGTACAGATCCTGCAAACATTCCACCAAATGGCACAACTCGTACCCAGTCACCTTCACCATACTGGCTGGCTGTAAACCAATTAGTTAAGGATATAAAAAGTTCACAAACACTGAATTGCATTAATATTGGTCCCATTTTATTTAAAAAAAAAAAAGATTTTGTCATATGTAGTATTCTGAACCATGCTCATAAAGTTACTTTCCTTCAATGTAACGTCACTGTTTAACCACACCAACTTACCCATGGTTGTTCATCTCCCATCGAGTAGCGTGCTAGACAGGTGGCTGCTGCAGACAGTAAACTTGGGTTGTACTTCAGAAAGGTTTCACAATCTACCAAGCTAAGCTCTATCAGCAACTGCAGAAATTGACGAAAACCAAGTTGAAATACATGTCCTGATTGTTGGTGTGTAACTTTCCCCCAATATAGGCAATATAAGGTATTTAGAAGTGATTTTTACCGTCTCTTGCTCATGGGTCTCCTTTTGAAATTTATCTTTTATAGACTGTCTAGCTTTTCGTTATTTGGGCTTGAATATTCTGAATATTTTCTCCAAGGTTAAGAGCACACGTGCACACTATCCTATAAGTTTTCCTAGTCCCCTTTTGTCATTAGGTCTTGGATACTTTATATTTTGTCCAAAGTTTACCAAGATGTTTTTATCAGGAACATTTACAAAATATGTAAAATCTTAAAAGGAAGTGATGAACATGTTTTTGCTAAGAATGAGTCAATACTTGTATCTTACCATTGCCAGTGATTTGGTTTTGTCGTCACAGCTAGCTTGTTTGAGGAAATGGTCGCAGAACCAATTGGCAGTGGGAGGAGATATGTCAAATTTAAGAACTTTCAGAATAAGATGTTCCATCCTAAGCACCTATAACAAAGAGTTGAATCATTGAAACATGCTGAATCAAGCTTGACTTTGAAGCATTTCAACCAGAGTAATGAAGGGAAATGTACAGTTTGCATTGCTTGAAAGATGAACACTCAAGCCTTTAGCAGGTTAGTTAAAATCCCAAATATGGGCAATATCTCTGCATTTGAGGGATAGTTCCCGATATGAGTAATCAGTTATTCAAATGTAGGGACATTTGAAATAAACATTTGCTAAAAAACTAAAAATGGGATCATGGTCATTTGGCCTTTTTGTTGTAAATGGTTAAAAGGAGTCTGTGCTTCTATTTCCTTCTCTTAAGCCAATACAACAATTGACCTGTGTAGCAAGTGTTTATGATTGTATAAAAAAAATCTAGCACGTTTGAGGAAAATTGAAAGTATATCGTACTTGTTTCTTCGTGTAAGTATCATCAGTGATGTAAGCAAACTCTCCAACATCTGGGGGATAGATTTCTTCATATTTCCTGTAAATAAACAAAAATCTATTAAAACAGTTCTGTGAAAAGAAAATTTATTAAAATTAGAGCTGTATTATTTTTTTCAGATTATTAAAGTAATACAATATCTCACTTGTTTTGTTTCGTTTTCATTCACCAAGGATGGCACCATCTTTTTTTCATTTCCACATTCAACATTGTGTTACTTTCCTTTTCTAACCACAGCATTTCATTAGGGGAACCATCAAACGTGTATGTATGGCAGACTTGTGTACCATAATTTACCCTGTTACCATGGATAACATGAGGATTTGTGAATTTCTTGTTTGAATTAAACAATTTTCTTATTTGTTTATTTTAGTATTTTGATTCTGTGTTGAAACATTTGCAGGTGTCTTTCCTACAATGTCATTGTTGATACAATTTGTTCTTTAAATTACAAAACAGCTGATAGGTGCAAAGAAAGGAATACAATATCATCAGTGAAGCACTGTGTTCATACATTGTATACGGTTGAATTTTTACTTGTTCCCCGAAGTTACCAGCCCTTTTCAACAAGGTAACACTATCATTATATGTCAGATGAAAGTCTGTTCTGGGTACAGATCGGGTATTAAAATTTGGGTACCCAGTCCCAAAATTTTGTACCTGTGACAGCCCTAATTACAACAAAAGTTCCTCAGAACTGTATGTGTCGCCTGCATAAAGTGTCAACGTCACCCAGGAATCAAAGTGGATGTGCAACGTTCAACCATAAAGTTGTAATACCAAATTTCATTTCTACAACTCAAAGCATAAAGGGAAAACTGCGCAAAGCAATATTCCTGAGAAATTTTCCAAGTTCAAAGGGACATATCACTGTCAAGAAGGTTTACAGACTGCCAAGAAGCAAACTAGGTGCGTAACTTTTGACCAAGAACTCGTATACAAAATTGCATTTTGATAACTCGAAACATAACCAAGAAATTTTCCAAGTTCAATGGGGCATGACTGCCAAGAAAGCCGTGAATCGAACCTTATATGTAATGTTCAACCATGAAGCCATTTCTCATATTTCATTTCAAAAACTAAGCATAATCAAGCACAAAAAAAAAAAAAAAAAAAACGTTCTTAAAAGAATTTTCGTAAGAATTTTCGAAGAGGCACAACTCTGCAAAGAAGGGTCACAGACGGCCAGGAATCAAACTTAATCTGTGTCCTTCCAACAAGAAGCCATATACCAAATTTAATTTCAATAACTCAAAGGATAACCCAAAAAAGTCAGGAAAACAATAGAAGGGTCACAGACAGTCGGATGGACAAAGTGATCCCTAAGTGTCCGCCAGCTCTACAGGTGACAAACAGGCCTGTGTTTACTTGTTTTTATCATAAATTTGATGGAGATCAACGGTTAATTTAGCTAAGTTCTAAAATAAGCGATTTCTAATTGCAGGTCGATTTATGTTGGTGGTATCACAATAAAGTTAATTTCTTTACAAAAGCTTAAACTTCAAAGTTTACAGGAAATACCTTGCTTTCAAAGCAGCCGACTTATATTGAAACTGTTGGGCAAAGTACTTTTACAGCATTACAAAACCACTATAGCTCTATATGTACATAAGATGTAGCTTCAACGTGAAACATTAATCTGGCACCAACTTTTTTAACATTACATAGCCGTCATTTGCAAAAACTGCTATCATCACAAGAGACGATTTTAAGTTGCAGACCTACAGCAAACTACAAAACGTTCCATCCCATCATATTCAGTGATTTATCTACATGTTAAAATGTTGTCACTTTCAATCAAAAACCTAACATAACCTATTTATAGCATGCTGAATTTTAATGAGACAGAATCATGTCATTTGTTTCAGGCCTTCCCAATAGGTTAGTAATATACATGCAGACAGACACTTACGATGCGAGAAACATGCTGGCAGCACCCACCAGCTGAAGCTTTCCTCTCTGGACAGCCATTGTGGAAAGAAAGCGATCAATGTAGTTGATGGCAAGGAACAATGTCTCTCGGTGCAGGTTGTACTCCTCCGATACTTCCACTAGCCAATCTACCAGAATACACCTCATAGAACTGGTGATGTCTTGTTGCTTTTTCATGTAGCCAGACTTTGGTCGATTTTTCAACTGAAAAAATAAAATTAAAGTTATCAATGGGTGAACAAGTCATTCCGTCTTTCATTCATTTGTCATTTTGTGAATATTTCAAAATTTTACTGAAAGCATTTTTAATTTGTTAGGACCTGTAGAAGCATTCCCAAAAACTTCTTTATATCTTTCAAGACATGAAAATGGGGGGAAATTTGCCAAATTAGGTTAAGAATATAATTATCTAAAACAGGAAGTAATGACTGGATTCAATCCCAACAAAAAGTCTAAACTTTCCCCCTATATTTCTGTACTTCAAATGAAAACATTTGTTGTATGCTTCTTATTCAGAATTTTTCTTAATATCTAAATGTCAAATTACTTTCTAAAATACTGAAGCCAATTTTCTTTTTGAACCTTTAATATAGGACTTACTTCAGCTTCTCTTAAATGTGTATAAATTTCTTCTGCATATTCTGGTACAGTTGTGATGATTGCTTCTCGGTTTAATGGTTTCTTTTCTTCGGCTACCTCATGTGAAATATCTAGCACCATGGGAGAATCTGAAGCAAAATTTGCTCAATTATATAAAACTCAGGATGTGGAAATTTTATTCTTTCCTCTCTCATTGTGCTTGTAGTTTTAGTTTTGCAAGTATTCTACTAATTCCTGATCATGTCAGTCCCAAAATCATTTTTTCCGTGATGGGATGTGTATATATGCAGGCTTTTTACAAGGGAACAAGTCTTTAAATGTCTCTTCAGACTTAATTTAATCAGAGTGAACATGGAATTTTTGAAGCTTCAAAAAAAAAAAAAAAAAAGAATAAGATTGGAAATTGTTGCAATTACAAAACCATCGACAAGTAATGGTAAGGGTCAAACCGGGTAAATATATTTGTAATTTGGTAGACCTCTTTCTTGACTGAACCATATGCATTTTCCTTTCACCAAGCATTATAAAATGACACAGAACTTGATATTTGTGATGTCCTTAGAAGAAAAAATTGTGTGGGACATTGTTGAATCTTACCAATACTCTCGTCTATGCAAATAAGGGAGTTGTTGGCAGCTGTGGAAAGAGGTTCGTGTAGACGATTTAAAGTTGTTACTGCATCCGTCAATTGTACTTTAGTTTCAGCACCTGCCACCATATTGGTAGACACTGGCTTGAGTTCGTGCAAAGTCTTCTGGTCATCAACAAATATAGAAAAAGGCTGTGCCTCCTTTTGTCCGAAAGTCTTTGCTGGTCTTGAAAACGTGTTTTCATCTTGAAATGCTTCTGTTCCAGCCTGGAAATTAAGAATAATATTATCCGACAACGACCAACTTACTTTACCGCATCCTGAAGCGCAAAATGTGTGGACTTCCGAATTCGTTTCACAGCAGCGCCTAAACGTCCAGACAAAGGAAACGTCGTTCAAAAATATCAGCGAATAAAAATATGATATCCGTATATTTTCATCTAGACACAAAAATAGTTAATGTTGGATAATTTTCCCAGTTGAGCTCACGCTGCTTTGTCTCGGAATTAAAAGCTTTGACAATTAGGTTCTAATGTATGACACTAGGCCAAGCTCAGTATGTCTCAGGACACGTAGTCCGTTGAAATGGAAATATTAATAAAAAAAACTTGCCTTGGCTGCTCTGAAAGGCTGCACTCGGACTTGGTTGGTTATCACACCCAAAGCAGCCCTCTTTGGTGCATTATTTCTCGGTACATTTTTCGCCCGGCGTGATGTTTGGTTCTCCGAGTCTTGGTAAGCGTCAAAGACGAACGTCGACATTTTGAAGTCAAAGTGTCACCAATACACTGCCTCCGCTTCAATGAAAATAAAAATAACGTGAAAGCACACAACGTCGCCTTCTCGTCTGCAGCTAGATTATACTCCAACAGACATGCAGGCTTGATTGAGGCTCGAGAATCAGTTCTTGTCAGGTCAACTCAAGAAAAGATTTTGAACCGTGTTTAGCTCAGCTGAGTTAACTTGGATTGAAACGAGGCAAGCCGGTTGAATTCCCCGCTGGTGACGAATTAGACCAATCGGATAGCTTACTTTGTGATCACATGATACACAAGGCAGACCGAGGCATTCAGTTCGGAATGATATTTACCTAAGAATTTTACAACCCATAACGACTGATATTTTAGAAAGTATCCGAATGATCAAAACATAAAGCGGACTTTTCAAGATTAGATAGCAGCCCTCTTTCGTAAAGGCGAGATATATCATTCCACAGGAATATTATTCACAACACAATCACAAAATATTTTAAAATGTCTAATGTCTCTGAATCATGATTAGAATATTGAAATTTCGGAGAGAGTTCCTTTTGAACCCCCCACCGAAAATGACTACCAGTAGGCTATAATAAGTATCTAAAAGGGTTTATTATAAGCAGAGACGTATATATCACGATATATACGTCTCTGTTATAAGGGGTACCAAGAAAAATTGGGACATGGTCTTAAAATCAACCCTTTCAGACACTTGTATTATATTTACCAGGTATAATAACCCATTGGTAGCCACTTTGGGGGGGGGTTCAAAAGGAACTCTTACCGAAATTTCTTGAGATTGAATTAAAATTCATCTATCATTATTCGTTTTTTTGTGGGTTTTTTGTTGTTCCTTTTTGTCTTTTTTAAAAAATGAATAAATGAACTATTTTCGCACTTAGAAATCTTTCACGTCTCTTACTTTACACCATTATTTTTTTTTTCTATATTTCAAGATTCGAAGGGAGACTGGCAAAACTTGTTACTACCAATTTGTGAATAAAAGAAAGTTACATAATCGGCGAATGTGTTCATATAGATTGGCATCTTCATTCGAATCTATGTCATACTTAGTATTTTCTTCATTTTTTTCTATCAAATGTTGAAGTGCTGAAACCTTCATGTAATAAGTTTGAAAAGTGGCTTTGTCCAGATCGAGCTGTCCCCTCGGTCATTATTTTGATAATTTCAGAAAAAGTTACTGAGAGGCCACCTGAAATTCCATTTCATGTGTCTGTTGATGCTTTTAGTCCTAACAACAATACCATACAGTGTGATAAACAAAACTAATCAGTATTAGAATATACGCGTTCTCTTTAACGAGACCCCAGCTCAGCTGTCGCAAATTTAACGAATGATTTTTACAACCACATCAATTCTTGATATCATGTCCATGAAAAAATCTGAAGATCTTCAGTTATGCATGTCATACAGAAATTTTTAAAAAATATACCAAAGGACATAATGACAATTGCAGTTGAAAATGTCTACTGATGAAAATATCATTTTAAAATCGTTTAAGTTTATTGAGTAGGAAGAACGAAGAAGGGACAACCTGGAGATAGTTGATTTATCTTTTCTTTGAAATCAATACCACCCCCCCCCCCCCCAAAAAAAAAAAAAAAGTCAACTTATTTGTTAAAGTTTTTGTTAAATTTGTCACTTAAACAATGAACATTGTATAACAAGTGTTTCATTAATGAATTGTACTCATTACGTAGAACAGTCCTACATGTAGTTGTAATGGTCTTCCTGGTTATAATACTAGTTTCGTTTTTTTTAAGTGATCTATTACAATTTTATCGCTTTGTTGATCAAGCAACCGGTGACAATTTTACACCTTCATTTACAGGTGTGTACAGGTAAGTACAGGTACACGACCATATACCCCTTAATAACTGACACCCTAGAGGGAAAGGCGGGGTGTTGACACGACGGGGGTGGCGAGTGCCGTCCCCAGGGTCACACCTGTACCTACTATCTATGACATAATCATAGGATAATGATGTATAGATGACAAAGGAACAGCGACACGACAACTACGGGAGTTTGGGTATCAATTCTAGAAACGATTTACTGTAATAAAACCTCATAACTGATAGCTTGGGTGTTTTATGGGATTTACAAGACCCGATATTAGCGGGATTTAGTAATAGTGTTTGTTTCTAATCTATTTCAGAAGCGAACCGGATGTAAACTCACACAGACAACAATGCTGTTTCACCGTAAATCACCAGTAACCAACTCGATGATTTTGATAGATTTAACGAAAGATCATAAGATTTTTTTTAAAAAAATGGAACCACCAATTTGTATATGTAATATATGTTATATTGACAGTGTAGAAAATAATAAAGATGTTTACACTGATTTCAAATTTTACAAAAGAGAAGATTCAAACTTCCGATTTCAGACACAGGATATTGTCAATTTCGCGGTGAAGATTACCATAATTTCCTAAGGAACCAAAATAATAACTATTAAAACTAAATGATTAAATAAATCCGTAAAGGAGGTACGATTGGCCGTAAATATCAGTTCAGCCATATATTCAACATATTGTTGCGGTATAAATATGATGTCATTTTAATAATGCGGCGTTAATTTAAATTATATTTGAGATTTCTATATCAGTTATATGTGTAAATAGTGACTTGTTTTAGTTGTTTTCGTCTACTCAAATCAAGTTTGTACCAGTCAAGTGTTCATGTGCTTTAGTCTAATCGAATAAAGTTTGTACCAGTCAAATGTTCATGTGCTTTAGTCTAATAGAATCAGTTTGTTCTAGTCAAATGTTCATGTGTTTTAGTCTACTCGAATCAAAGTTTGTACCAGTCAAATGATCACGTGTTTTAGTCTACTCGAATCAAAGTTTGTACTAGTCAAATGTTCATGTGCTTTAGTCTACTCGAATCAAAGTTTGTACCAGTCAAATGATCACGTGTTTTAGTCTACTCGAATCAAAGTTTGTACCAGTCAAATGTTCATGTGTTTTAGTCTACTCGAATCAAAGTTTGTACCAGTCAAATGTTCATGTGTTTTCGTCTACTCGAATCAAAGTTTGTAACAGTCAAATGTTCATGTGTTTTCGTCTACTCGAATCAAAGTTTGTACCAGTCAAATGTTCATGTGTTTTAGTCTACTCGAATCAAAGTTTGTACCAGTCAAATAATTACGTGCTTTAGTCTACTCGAATCAAAGTTTGTACCAGTCAAATGATCACGTGTTTTAGTCTACTCGAATCAAAGTTTGTACCAGTCAAATGATCACGTGTTTTAGTCTACTCGAATCAAAGTTTGTACCAGTCAAATGATCACGTGTTTTAGTCTACTCGAATCAAAGTTTGTACCAGTCAAATATTCATGTGTTTTAGTCTAATCGAATCAAATTTGTTCTAGTCAAATGTTCATGTGTTTTAGTCTACTCGAATCAAAGTTTGTACCAGTCAAATATTCATGTGTTTTAGTCTAATCGAATCAAATTTGTTCTAGTCAAATGTTCATGTGTTTTAGTCTAATCGAATCAAAGTTTGTTCTAGTCAGTAACGCAAGAAATCGATCAAGTATTTTATATCACTACTGAGTTTGAGTTGACTCATTGAGTTTGCGTTCGTGTTAAATATAAGAGTTACGTGTTTCAAATAACTCATGCTTAAATGATATGACGTCACATTTTGTTGTGATTAAGTCCTTCGTTAAGATGCTTTGGATAGCACGCGGCGGATCTCTCGCAAGGTGTTCAGCGAGATAATCACCAACTACACGGAAGCACGCCTCAAAACGACACACATTGTTCATGGCACAATAAACCAATTAAAATAACAAATAAATGTTATGAAATACGTTTACCGTTTCTTTAATGTCTGCTCAAGCAATACGTGATTCTGAAGTATACATACTGTAGGATCTTGATCAACCACTTCCCTACAAAATGCCTCCTGGAACTGTCTTTTTATAAGACAGTTTGACCAAGCGACCTGAATCGTTACTTATAAAAGTATATTAGTCATACAATTTAAAATGCCAGGTCTTATAAGACTTAAGATGAATTAAACATCATCTGAAATAAATAAATTAATAAATCAATCAAAATATTTGCTGTTTATTGTCTGCTATTCTGAGCATTATTATTATTACTTGATCTTGCTATTGTATATGGTCCAACCATTAGTGTTGTCTGAAATTGAAGTGACTGTCGATAGTTGTCAGTATAAGAATTCGCATATGATCATGTCACGCCACAAAATAAGTCGTTTCCTGTACACTAAAATAAATAATTTGCCAAATTCTTTACACAACCTTTTAATGGAATTCGGAAGATGATGACGTAGATTTTTTTTGTATTTTATGACTCGGTCCATTCTTTCACGTAAAATGAATTTGTCAAAATGTATCATCGAGAGAAGCCCTTTGTCTATTTATTGATCAAATCGTTATCATGGAGTAATGTAAAAGAATAAAGTGTGTAATTTTTTTCTGTACTTCGATTTCCTTTGTTGACAACTAGCTGGTAGGATTCTCTGTGTCCCGTAAAGTTGTTGATGATTTATCTTAATGACATCAAAACGACAAACATCCGAAACATTTTATCTTACGGCGTAGATTGTATCTTACAACATGTGGTGATTCTTGTGAATGTACATTGTACTGCAATATTCTTTCGTGTTGGTGAAATGATTATATGCCCAAGATGAAAAAAAAAGAATCTGAAAAGTGCTTGTTGATGAACAGATTATCGTACCATCTACTGCAAACAAGTATTACTGGTTCAGTGACAGATAGATACAGCTGGTCACGGGGCTAGCGGTGTGTTAGACTTCAAACTTGCTTAACAGGTTTCCAAAACCAATGGTTGTCTGGATTTTTATTTAAAGGGGATATTACATCCAAGTTTAAACTGCTCTGTACCTTTTAAGAACTCATTCTATTGACTTTAAAACTACTGTGGTGCAAGCCATTTATGTATTGTATTTGACGTTAATTTCAGCTTAAATTTATTTATTTATTCATTACACTGTTGGCAAACATTTGAAATAAGTATTTTATTCAGCTTGATCCTGTATTTTATTTGTCTAATTTCCGAAGTTAATTTTATAGATTTATCGAAGAAAATCTGTTTGGATTGTGTTATAGTGAGGTAGTAAAAGTTGCCTCCCTTCCACCAAATTGACGAATATTTCAGTGAAAAATGTTTATATAAGAATTAATCATTTGTGTTACACATTTAGCTGTTTTATCCTTCCGGGACTCACCAGTGATGCTAGGGATAAAGAGACTGGACCCCTACCCCCACCCAACCACCAGCCCCGCCCCCAAGGATCTATTCCGACAGCCTTATTATTCGTTTTTTTGTTTGTTTGTTGACGGTTTTGCGTGTTTTTATGAGTATTTAAATCTCCTATGGAGGTGTCCACCCTGACCTTTCTAATGATTTCTTTGAAACCCGGTAGACTTTTTTGTTACTATGACATGGAATTGTGTTTTCCTGAATATTGTAAATCAAGCAATTGTTCTAAGTGCTATAACCTTCGGGTTTTTTTTTCTTCAATATTTTCATTTTGTCCGGAGAGGTCATCCCTCAATATTTGACGAATTTATTTGAAAATCATACGCATTAAAACTATGATATGACATTGTGTTTTCTGGAACGGTATCTAGATTTAATAATTTACGTACATGTAGTGTTGTTTTCATCACGTACTTGTTGTCCACAGATTTCTTCTCTCAGTTGGCGACCGATTTTCTCAGAACTGATTGTTTAATCTATTTTCAATAGATATCACACTACTCCCCAGCCTTGCATTAATCCCTCCATTTCCCTGACTTGTTTCCCTCTATTGTTTTATTATGATTTCATGGCATTGTGACTTTTCAGAAGTATTTTGTTAGATTTACATTCGCCATGATAAAAATGTTACTAAAGTTACCTCCCTTCCACCATACACTGGTAGAGTAAACAAACTTACTGAAGTCGTAAACAAATTTAGATCTGATATACTAAACCATCTTTAATATATCAGTGAGTCAATAAAAACGTCATATAAAAATAGCGAATCTTCATTTATTGTAACTGTTTAGAAAATTAAATCATTGCATACACAAACAACATTAGAATTAAACTACAAGTACGCTGACACAAGATACAGTCACAGTCAGTCACTGATGGACGACACCAAAGATAAATGTCACAGTCAGTCACTGATTGATAATACCAGATAAATGTCACAGTCGGTCACTGATGGACGATACCAAAGATAAATGTCACAGTCAGTCACTGATGGATAATACCAGATAAATGTCACAGTCGGTCACTGATGGACGATACCAAAGATAAATGTCACAGTCGGTCACTGATGGACGACACCAAAGATAAATGTCACAGTCGATCACTGATGGACGATACCAAAGATAAATGTCACAGTCGATCACTGATGGACGATACCAAAGATAAATGTCACAGTCAGTCACTGATGGACGATACCAAAGATAAATGTCACAGTCGGTCACTGATGGATAATACCAGATAAATGTCACAGTCGATCACTGATGGACGATACCAAAGATAAATGTAACAGTCAGTCACTGATGGACGATACTAAATATAAATGTCACAGTCGGTCACTGATGGACGATACCAAATATAAATGTCACAGTCAGTCACTTATGGACGATACCATTTGACCTGAATCGACTTCTTCATTTCAAGTTTATTGTTATTTTTTTTCACAGAGATTATCATCTCACAAAATATTCTCTACACATCGCAAATTTACAAATACACTGAACCAATATCTCAAGAGCCTGAATTGGTAGAGTAAGGTCAATTGACACACTAGGCCAAATAAAATGCAATGTCAAGGATAAAGGATACACTCAATCAGGTACGTCTCTGACTCAATCAAAGGAACTAAAATGTCGAGATCAAAGGACAAGCACCGTGTACAAGAAGTCATTTGCCTCACTCGGTCACAGAAGCGACAAGGTCAAATATCAACAACGGTATGGAAATGTCAAGGTCAAAGGGTAAACCTTGTCTAGTGGATAAACTACTGGGTATACATCGTTACACACTGGATATAGACGACTATTGAAGTCAGGTGGCCTGGGATATAGACGACTATTGAAGTCAGGTGACCTGGGATATAGACGACTATTGGAGTCAGATGACTTGGGATGTAGACGATTATTGAAGTCAGATGACCTGGGATGTAGACGACTATTGAAGTCAGATGACCTTGGATATAGACGACTATTGAAGTCAGATGACCTGGGATATAGACGACTGTTGAAGTCAGATGACCTGGGATGAAGACGACTATTGAAGTTAGATGACCTTGGATATAGACAACTATTGAAATCAGATGACCTGGGATTAGACAACTATTGAAGTCAGATGACCTTGGATATAGACGACTATTGAAGTCAGATGACCTGGGATATAGACGACTATTGAAATCAGATGACCTGGGATGTAGACGACTATTGAAGTCAGATGACCTGGGATTAGGCGACTATTGAAGTCAGATGACCTTGGATATAGACGACTATTGAAGTCAGATGACCTTGGATATAGACGACTATTGAAGTCATGTGACGTGGGATATAGACGACAACTGAAGGCATGTGACCTTGGATATAGACGACTATTAAAGTCATCAGATGACCTGAGATATAGACGACTATTGAAGTCATGTGACCTGGGATATAGACGACTATTGAAGTCATGTGACTTGGGATATAGACGACTATTGAAGTCATGTGACTTGGGATATAGACGACAATTGAAGTCATGTGACCTGGGATATTTCACTTTAGGTTTGGTCTATTGAGTCATTATTTATCAACGTTATAGACGAGATTATGAGTCTCGCCTCACTTACATAACTGTGACAGGTAATAGCCAAATTCTATCTTTACCAGAGTTGTCGTCCTTTAAAGCCACAATGCACGAGGTGTTTTATAGGGTACCGCAATGCAGTGCGGGAGAAATCGAGTCAAATCATTTACCACACGGGAGGTCACCGCCCGCCCGTAATTACATAATTCTCAAACAAATGATGTAACACACAAAATCATCGGTTTCCTTCAGCCACATACTTGACATATGGCGGGCTACTTAGCAACAGTCACATTGGACAACATAAAACATTATGGTACAGACCAAACTGAACAGATTACAAATTGCGCGGCACCTTTGTGCAAGGCTTTATACCACCGATGTCTCGGGCGGTCAGGCAAGGTCACTATCAAGGCTAAAATTCACAATCACAGTCAGAGTCATACTACATCTCCTTCACCAAATCTCCTTCATAAACATCCTTCTTGATACAACACCCTCCATCATACATCTCCTTCACCAACTCTCCTTCATAAACACTCTTCTTGATATAACACTCTCCATCATACTACATCTCATTCACCAACTCTCCTTCATAAACATCCTTCTTGATACAACACCCTCCATCATACATCTCCTGCACCAACTCTCCTTCATAAACACCCTTCTTGATACAACACCCTCCATCATACATCTCCTTCACCAATATTCGTTGATAAACACCCTTCTTGATGTAACACTCTCCGTCATACTACATTTTCTTCACCAACTCTCCTTGATAAACATCCTTCTTGATATAACACCCTCCATCATACATCTTCTTCACCAACTCTCCTTCATAAACATCCTTCTTGATATAACACCCTCCATCATACATCTCATTCACCAACTCTCCTTCATAAACATCCTTATTGATATAACACCCTCCATCATACATCTCCTTCACCAACTCTCCTTCATAAACAACCTTCTTGATATAACACTCTCCATCATACTACATCTCATTCACCAACTCTCTTTCATAAACATTCTTGATATAACACCCTCCATCATACATCTCCTTCACCAACTCTCCTTCATAAACATCCTTCTTGATATAACACCCTCCATCATACATCTCCTTCACCAACTCTCCCTCATAAACATCCTTCTTGATATAACACTACCCGTCAAACCACATCTCCTTCACCAACTCTCCTTCATAAACACCCTTCTTGATATAACACTACCCGTCAAACCACATCTCATTCACCAACTCTCCTTCATAAACACTCTTCTTGATATAACACCCTCCATCATACATCTCCTTCACCAACTCTCCTTCATAAACATCCTTCTTGATATAACACCCTCCATCATACATCTCCTTCACCAACTCTCCTTCATAAACATCCTTCTTGATATAACACTACCCGTCAAACCACATCTCATTCACCAACTCTCCTTCATAAACACTCTTCTTGATATAACACCCTCCATCATACATCTCCTTCACCAACTCTCCTTGATAAACATCCTTCTTGATATAACACTCTCCATCATACTACATCTCATTCACCAACTCTCTTTCATAAACATTCTTGATATAACACCCTCCATCATACATCTCCTTCACCAACTCTCCTTCATAAACATCCTTCTTGATATAACACCCTCCATCATACATCTCCTTCACCAACTCTCCCTCATAAACATCCTTCTTGATATAACACTACCCGTCAAACCACATCTCCTTCACCAACTCTCCTTCATAAACACCCTTCTTGATATAACACTACCCGTCAAACCACATCTCATTCACCAACTCTCCTTCATAAACACTCTTCTTGATATAACACCCTCCATCATACATCTCCTTCACCAACTCTCCTTCATAAACATCCTTCTTGATATAACACCCTCCATCATACATCTCCTTCACCAACTCTCCTTCATAAACATCCTTCTTGATATAACACTACCCGTCAAACCACATCTCATTCACCAACTCTCCTTCATAAACACTCTTCTTGATATAACACCCTCCATCATACATCTCCTTCACCAACTCTCCTTCATAAACATCCTTCTTGATATAACACCCTCCATCATACATCTCCTTCACCAACTCTCCTTCATAAACATCCTTCTTGATATAACACCCTCCATCATACATCTCCTTCACCAACTCTCCTTCATAAACATCCTTCTTGATATAACACTCTCCATCAAACCACATCTCATTCACCAACTCTCCTTCATAAACACTCTTCTTGATATAACACCCTCCATCATACATCTCCTTCACCAACTCTCCTTCATAAACATCCTTCTTGATATAACACTACCCGTCAAACCACATCTCATTCACCAACTCTCCTTCATAAACACTCTTCTTGATATAACACCCTCCATCATACATCTCCTGCACCAACTCTCCTTCATAAACATCCTTCTTGATATAACACCCTCCATCATACATCTCCTTCACCAACTCTCCTTCATAAACACCCTTCTTGATATAACACTACCCGTCAAACCACATCTCATTCACCAACTCTCCTTCATAAACACTCTTCTTGATATAACACCCTCCATCATACATCTCCTTCACCAACTCTCCTTCATAAACATCCTTCTTGATATAACACCCTCCATCATACATCTCCTTCACCAACTCTCCTTCATAAACACTCTTCTTGATATAACACTCTCCATCATACTACATCTCCTTCACCAACTCTCCTTCATAAACACCCTTCTTGATATAACACTCTCCATCATACTACATTTCCTTCACCAACTCTCCTTCATTAACACCCTTCTTGATATAACACTCTCCGTCATGCGTCATTTCTTTCGACAATTCTCCTTGGAACTAACATTTTTGATATCACTTTACCGTGATAATAACCCTTTTTGATTTTTGGCGTTGTATCTCTTTAATACCTTAAAGATGATTTTAATACCATACATCCAATAATATCTTCCGATACAAATTCAGAATTACATTCTGTAGAGATTATTAATGAACCACACATGTAACCATCTCTGCATGATACTAGGCTAAATTAAAATTGATTTCGTTTAATTGTGACAAAATCCTTCATTATACTCTACTAATTTAAACAGCATTTATTCATACTGTTCTCCATGATACCGTTTCAGACAAGTCTTTGAAAGGAAGAGAACATGAAAAAGTTAAATATCATTTTTCAAATAAGGTAACACTGTAAACCAAAGTACGAGTTATCGCCCGTGTCCCACTCTTAAATACTCGCGTCCCGAAGTGTCATGTTTACGGCCCTGTGATGGCACGTTAGAAAATAGCGCAATCAACCAATTGTATTATCTACATACCCGTTTTACTGCAATCATTATTTGCTCTTACGAAAATGTCCTTTGTTTCTTGAAGTCAATAACATTTTTGAGTAAATTTGATTTATTGAAATGAATATTCACATAGAAACAATTACATATAAGATTATGATAATAAAAGTGAAAGTTTTGAAAATGAAATATCTTGGCTTCTTCATTGAAAAATCTGAACAGATATTTTCACTTGTTATATTTCGGTATCCTTGCAGCTCGTGAAAGGAGAGAGACTGTGATCTGGCCCTACTACCATATTGACCGACATGCGCGCCTTACTCCGTACATAGAACGTAAAACCTACCTGTTTGTCTTCCAATCACAGACACCGTTATACAATCGAAAGGCTGTATACAACACACGCTATCGATCACCTAGGCAGCTACAGCATACTCATGAAATATTCAGGGGTCAAAACGAGATTAGATTTCCGTAGGACGTAAGAGAAGACCGCTGCTATAGCAGACTTAAGATGTGTTGGTGAGGCATACACCACACAATCACAATATACACGAAACAACAGTCTTGTTTAATTTAAAGTTACATCTTACAAAAGAAAAAAATGTAGCATACTCACAATCTCGACTTCATCAACAAACGAGATTTTCGTTCTTCTAACACTATCGTCCCGTCATCATTTTTAACATATTTCTTTCGTAATAATAACCTAAAAATAACTACCCATGTCCACAAGTTGTTTTGATGTTTCACTATTTTGCTGGAAAGAGACTTCCTCCGAGGATGGTTTTCGGACAATGTTTAGAACGGCAAAAATCTCACCCCTTTACTCCTTTTATGTAGAACATAACGGATTTGATTCTCTCTCAATAATTGGGATTTGTGTTCATGATATAGAGAAAAAAATGAATTTTTCCACGAGATAAAAGGTACAAGACTCACACACTGTAAACAAAATAAAGTCGAGCTTTCTTATATTGTTGAGTGCTCAGAGGATTGCTTGTTCATACGTTCATATTTATCTAAAGACAATGTCAATAAACCGATTACATTTAAGTCAACATTACATTGACAAGACAACGACAAATTAATCGTCATTCCCACTTGGAAGATCTTGATCCTAAATTTCTGGATCCAATGTTCTTAGGTTGTAACCGCACTTATCCCACTCCACTCACTCCAAAAATACGACATAAAATAAAATCTAAAATTCATCGGATATTTCATACTTGGGATACATTTATTTTGCTTACGAGGAAATGGGAATAAGTAGAAAATAGAGTGAAGTGTGGCCAATATTGAGGGGAATTACTGTGGTATAGCATCTTGTTACCATTGTATTTAAGTGTTTGCGGTTCTAGGTCAGCATATATTGTACAAACGACACACAAGTGAACATCATCCTTCAAAAAAAAAAAAAAAATTAGAATTAAATACAGTAGAGCAATATAATGAATTAAACAGCATCATGCAGCTATTTCGTCCTTTATTGAAATTTATGTGGCGACGGGTGATGAAAATTGGTTGAAACAAATATCAAAACGGGAAGGTGGCAATAATTCTGTTTAAAACACATTACTGATGTTTGTAAGTTTACCCAAATTCAGACCTAGCCTCCAAAAATACAATTCTATCTTTAAATCAGAAATCTAGTGGAAAGTCCACTACGTAAATACGTTTTTATTGAATGTAGTTTTTATCTTTTATTATCAAGGAGTAATTATACTGCAGACAGAATACAATAATACAACTAGATATAAGTCTTACTGAAGCAATCTTATATGGGGCAATGATAGTTATTCTAGATAAAAAAAGAAATTGTCTTAACTGTTCAAAGTTATATCAAATTAAGTAAGCGATTTGATAAACATAATCTTATACTTTTTTTTAGTGAGTATTTATTTATGTGAAATTTATTGAAATAACAGGCAATTTTCTGTACACTTTACTGGATACCATTGCATACTGTAATTTGAACTTGACCACAAGTATCAATTACGGCGACATAAACTTTGTATATAAAATATATTCTAAAATCTATCCTATTCACCACATGTATAAATCATGTCGAATTGTAAAATTAATTGTTTTTCACAATATCATCTGTGATAGGTGTTCCAAGACCCGAAGTTCCGTTTGCTGTTGAATGTACTTGGGAAAGGAATTGATATAAGCTCGTATCTTGTTTTCCTATCCTAAAATACAAAAATACTAAATACAATTGTAACAAAGTCTCCGTGAGTAAGTCCCGGTAGATATAAGTACATGTTAACTTTGCAGACATCTGTTGCCAAGGGATATACCGAGAATGTTTGGTGACACACCAATAAAAGGTCACAAAGTTACAACAGATGCCTTGTGTGTTTTGATGAATAATTAACCCGCTCTCCACTCGATTTAGAATATTCCAGGTTTTGGTTGTAAGGTACTTTTGGGGACTAGGACTGTTCTACGTGTGTACAAACACTGAACAGAGCTATGTATATATCTGTATTTATTTGTTTATTTTCTTTTAAACATTATATATCAATATACGTATCTATAAAATAACTATGTTAAAACCGTTATATATAAAGTAAAAATATAATCTTTACAAAAAATCTGAAATACTTAACTAATTTCCTTATAAAGAAATGTAACGTTCGATTTCACAATCCATAAAACGACACCAATGGCGTATTAAAACACATTAATGCTCCACTTCCCACAATCATAAAATACAACATTTTAGTTTAGAACTCATTCGTCCACAATACTATAACAAAATGAGTAGTCTATTCCAACAAAACGAAATTAATGTCATCAGTTAGATTCCAATTTCACCCAAACCATAATAACACATTTGTTTACCTCCATACCCACAAAAATAAATAAATAGATAGATAGATAAATAGATACTTTTGAAACAACACATTACTGAATAATGTTTTTCAGACTTCATTGAAAACCAAGACCACAATATCTTAATATCAATTACATTTCACAATTTAAAATATAAATTTTATATTTCAGACAACATTTATAACACATTGGATTACAAAATTGTGTAGAATTTCAACCCAACAAAGAAATCAATATCACATTCCAAAATATATGACACTAGCAGCGATACCAAATTACACTACAAAATTTATTGTGTCAAAATAGCACACGATCATAACAACACCAAGACAATGCAGTAAAACAATGCTAGAAACTGAGATGTCATGAAAACACAACACTAGAGATTCCGGTGTCATCACAACACAATTATAGTAATCTTGATGTCATGACAACACAATACTAGATATTCCGGTGTCATGACAACACAACACTAGATATTCTGGTGTCATGCCAACACAATAATAGATATTTCGGTGTCTTGACAACACAATAATAGATATTCCGGTGTCATGACAACACAATACTAGAGATTCCGGTGTCATCACAACACATTTCTAGTTATCTTGATGTCATGACAACACACTACTAGATATTTTGATGTCATGACAACACAATACTAGATATTTCGATGTCATGACACCACAATATTATTTAACTTGATGTCATTTCAACACAATACTATATATTTCGATGTCATGGCAACACTATACGAGTTACTGT